GGTTTGCACACATGCACTGTATTCGTTCCGCCAATAATAAAATACACTGGACCTGTTCCTAATAAACAGTTAGTAGTATGCGCTATTGACCAAGCATTAGGTCAAGATGGGTGGATCTTGACTTTAGGTTTTCCTCTTTTTCATGGACCAAGACCAAGTCGAGGTCGATAAAAACTTTTAAAAAAAGGACAAAGCCGTTTCCCAGCCATGTTGACCGAACAAGGTTGATTAATAAAGAACATATTTTATGGCCAAAAGAGAATCTTCTTCTGGCGGAACCAACGCGGAAAATCCTGAGCGGGCGAGAGGCCCATCTTGTCCGCTCTGGTAAGCAGAACATATCATTCACTTGATCTTACCTGCTCGCGGATTCAGCAAAATATATAGTCAAATAAAGGGTATATTGATCTTTTTTTCAAATGTAATGAAAACATGTTTCTTACCAGGATGGACAGGTGTTGGTTGTCATCTCCCTGACTGTCCTGGCGTTCCAAATTGTTTTGGTCGTGGATATTGCAACGCAACTAATCGCGTGACGCCAGCATGCACAAACTGTGATCCAGGCTGGATGGGTGCGGCCTGTAATGATCCCTGCGTCCACGGTACACCTAAAGATGGAATATGCCATTGCGATCCTTGTTATACGGGCAGTGGTTGTCAAAGCGAGTGCTCCGGATATGGAGAATGCGTCAACAACAAATGCGTTTGCGTTCAGGTGCAAGGTAGTGCTCATATGGGGGAATACTGCGAGCTGCCAGGATGCCCAAGGCAGTGTACAAGTCCGAATAACGGCTTCTGCAACACGGAAACTCAGAAGTGTATATGTGCTCAGGGGTGGACTGGGGATGACTGTAGTACACCTGACTGTCCAGGAGAACCAGTGTGTTCCGGCCATGGAAGCTGCAGTAACACCAACCCAAGAAGGTATGATTTAGTTTGGAGGACCTGATAACAAATAATGTATCTACAGCAGTGTTGTCTAAAGTAGTGGCAAAATATTGCAGAGAATAACAAAAATACGATTCATCGTAGTTTGTGTGTAATAGGTTTGTTTTATCGGTTGTCTAGTTACTTGCACTTCGATATTTATGACATTTCTACCACGTACCGCTGGTTTTCGTAATTCGATTGTGTCGATTTGCATCGACCCCAATTTTCCTTTCGTAACCGGTCGTTGCCATTTTTAACGGTCGATGCCACTATTGGTAACCAACCCCTTAGTCATGACAGATGTTATATATTCCTTAGATTAACTATAATAAGGCAAATAATATTTTTTTGGCTAGTCTTAGAAAGAACGACGTTGAAACCCAAGTTGAATAAAAGCTATGGAAGGGGCTAGGGTCATCTGTTATTAATGTATCAGTTAGGGCCTGTTTACAAGGAGAGAGTGTTACCATTGTGCTAGGGATACCCTAGCAAGCGGGTTAAAGTTAGCTCTGGTTTACAAGCAAATTTCACAGGTAGGGAAAACCTATCACCCGGGTCAACTTTACCACCTTTACTAACGTGTTTCGTCATGCGTCACATTCTTTGTAACGTCCAAGAGTTGAAATAAAACTTGAAGTTCTCTATGGGTAACGCGTTAAATTCACGTAAACACGGGAAAATATTATCATCGTATGCAGAAAATACTGTGTATTGTTCAGATGTTTATAATTTAGCTCAGAACTTAGATAACTCCGTTCAAATTGTCAAGATTACTGGACCTAACACTTTCAGCATAATATTCTAAGCATAGGCGAGTTATCCATAGCAGAGCATTTACAAGGCAGGTAGAGTAACCCTCTTGCTAGCGTAACTCTACCTGCCCTGTAAATACGTCAACTAAGAAAAGAAGAAATGTGCGAGACCAGGGTTACTCTCCCTCCGTGTAAACAGAGCCTTAGTAAAGACAGTTTGCTAGTTTATGTACTTAAATTTGTCGGACGTTTGACGGGTCGTTGTCGTAGTGTAGTGGTAAGGGAGAGAGATAAGGGGTGCTTACCACTTGGCAGAAAAATCCGGTTGGGGTGTGGAAAGCATAATGGTGAGCGATTTACAAATTTACCGCAGAAATACCACATCTGTTACGGTTTGAATGCAAAAAAGGGGCGAATTTGTGTAGCGTGAGTCTGGAACCGAGAAGGGACCAAGAAATTGGCAACTGGTAAGCAATATTCCGTTTGGCTCGTACAAACCGGAATGAACGGACTACCTCAAAAGATACTCCTCAATTTTCGGTTGGAATTTTCGAAAAGTGACCTTCCATTTAACTTCCATCCAAAATTTTCTGTCAAATGGTAAGCACCCAAGGATGCGAAAGGTCCGGGTTCGACTCTGGGTTGCGTTCTTCTTTTGTTTAATGGAAACACTCTCGATTAAGTCAAACATTTTCGAAGTGTCTTAAAAATGATAGTGACCGTTTACAAAAGGGAAACTTGCATCATCAACACCACAAAAGGCCCTTAAGGAGAAGGATTCTAGCGTGAACAATGAACGATAAAAATCGACGTCGTCCTACCATGAGTTATGATGGACACCATCGCTTGATAAAGACTAACAGTACGCGGTCGAAATGTGACCATCGCAAGATAAGTGAGGTGATTCTTGAGAGTGTTTTTTAAACGATTCATTGCTTTCCAATTTTTGTTCAAGATCCGACGTTATTGCTGAATATTCCTTAGCGTAATACTTGCTTAACATTGTTAATAGTATTAACCCAATTTTTACAGGTGTAACTGCCAACCACAATGGGCGGGAGAGAGGTGCGAACTTCCTTGCGTAAATGGAACAAACTACGGCAACGCCTCGGGTTGCATTTGTCACCCGTGCTTTTCTGGACCTGGTTGTAATCGTGAATGCTCATTACACGGAAAATGTGTCAACAACGCATGCGTTTGTGACAAACTCCAAGGGTACAAGGGCGACGTGTGCGAAGTCCCAAGCTGCCCTGGATGGCCCAGAGATTGCAGTGGCCATGGCACTTGCAACAAAGCCAATTTGCAGTGCACGTGCGATCCTTCCTGGAGAGGGCCCGCCTGCGACATTCCAGACTGTCCTGGGACCCCCGACTGTGACGGTCGTGGCGCTTGTATCGCACCTACAAGAGACAATGAATCGCCCAAATGTAATTGTCTTAAAGGATGGATGGGTGTGGCCTGTGAGTTGCCTTGTAAACATGGAACACCGACTAGTGATCATATTTGCGTGTGCGACCTGTGCTACAATGGGGCTGCCTGTGACACGTTATGCTCAAATCACAGCTCACTTTGCGCTGATGGGAAATGTGACTGCGGATGCAACGGATGGAGGGGTAAATATTGTGAGAAAAAAGGATGCCCTGGATGTGAGAAAGACTGCTCCGGACATGGTCAATGTTTGCCTGCGTCACAAACGTGTATCTGCGATTCAGGCTGGACTGGTAAGTTCTACCACTTTTTTGGTTTGTCCCAATTAACTGGGTGACACGTCTTTCCGATTGTTAAAGCAAATAATACAGTTAATACCTTATTGACATGTAAGGCATTTTAAGGGCGAAAACCTCATTCGGATCTCATGTAGACTTTATCTTATTTGCTATAAATGCGGTATTTTCTATACTAAACGTAGTTTACGCGGTTGCAGGAACCTTTTAAAATGGAGTTGATTTTGGTTTACCTCAGCTAAGCTGTGCACGTGTCATTTGCTTGGAGCTTATGAAAATGTCTAAGGTTTTGTTTTCAAGAGAAAGGCGCATAATACCAAAAGTAAATTTTGGTCTCCTAAAAGCTGGCTTAATTAACCCATTAATCATACTACACTTGTATAAAGGTAAATACATAGTCATTAAAAATTTTAATGTAAAAGAATTATACCTCTCTTTTAAGTACTTGGAAAAAGTACTCGCCAAACAACAAAAGAAACTCCATTAACCCAGTCGACCACTCATATGCTAGGCGCTAGACACCTGCACGAATCTAATTTTTTTTTTTGCATTTTATTGTTGTTGCTTTTATGGTATGGCTCATTGCCTTTCCAAATGCAGTGTAGGCTTCTGAAAATATGAAAATTAATCAAGAATTTGCATTGACACAGGTATAAGCTGTGCGCAGACAGACTGCCCTGGTGATCCTGATTGCAACAACCGGGGGCAGTGCATTCAAGCTGAGGTCCCTTATTGCGATAATTGCCAGGCAGGGTGGACAGGGAGAGCTTGTGAACTTCCCTGTGTAAATGGAAGTCGAAACGTCAATGATCGAGCCGTATGTGACTGTGATCCGTGCTTCAGCGGATTGGAATGTGATGTGTTCTGTTCAGACAGACCCAATGCGACATGTCTGAAAAATCATTGTGACTGCGGGTTTGAAGGTTGGCGTGGAAAGTACTGCGAAAAGAAAGGCTGTCCAGGTCTATTCGATAGAGATTGCTCAGGGCGCGGAACTTGCAACAGTGCTACCCAGACATGCGACTGTAATCCAGGTTGGGCGGGACGAGGTTGTGAGAAACCCGCCTGTCCTGGTACTCCAATGTGCAAGGCTCGTGGAAAATGCGAAACATTTGGCTACACTTCTTTCTGCTCTTGTGAAAAGGGCTGGATGGGTCGAGCTTGCGAGACTAAATGCGAACATGGAACACCTCAGAAAACGGCCGATGGCTCATTTTTTTGCCAGTGTGATGGTTGCTACAGTGGTGTAACGTGTGAGTCAGAGTGTTTTGGGCGTGGCAACTGTACAAACGATAAATGCGATTGTGGGTTTGAAGGTTGGCGAGGTCCCACTTGCAATACTAAAGGGTGTCCCGGATGGGGCTCTGACTGCTCGGGTCATGGCTCCTGTATTGCCGCTTTAGGCACCTGCTACTGTCGGCCCGGTTGGTCTGGAAGTGGCTGTCACATACCTAACTGCGCAGGTGGTGGAAATTGTAACGGACATGGTGTTTGTGACGGAATTTCTAATGATCCTCCAGTTTGTATCTCTTGTGACCCCGGGTACATGGGAAAAGGATGTGATCAACTCTGTATTAATGGCACAGTGGTGCAGTCATCAAGCGGAGATACTTGTAGATGTGACAGCTGTCACACCGGGGTGGACTGTGGGCCGCAATGCAACGGTCACGGCAGATGCGATCAGGGCAAATGTGTTTGTAATAGTGGTTGGAGAGGGCCCAGGTGTGAAACTGTAGGCTGTCCAGGTGTGGGCATTGATTGTAGTGGCCACGGAGTTTGTTTGCTTGTTACACAACAATGTGATTGCTTTCATGGATGGAAAGGACCAGGCTGTGACATTCCTGATTGCCCTGGAGTACCAGACTGTAATACACTAGGAACATGCTACGAAGGAGTTGATCCGCCAATCTGTGTGAACTGTACCAATAATACAATGGGTCCTGCGTGTGAATTTCCGTGTTTTCATGGTCAAGAATATCCACCTAACAGCGTGATTTGCAAGTGTGATCCATGTTATTCTGGACTTGCCTGTGATATTGAATGTAACAAACGGGGGTTTTGCAATAATAGTGGCTGCCAGTGTGATGGAGGGTGGAAAGGTTCCACATGCGAAACCTTAAACTGTCCAGGCGAACCGGACTGTAGCGAACGTGGTGCCTGTGTGCAGCAAGGGTCTCCGCCCAAGGCTGTATGTCTTTGCAATCAAGGATTCGACGGTGATGACTGTAGTAAGTTTGTTTGCCCGGGACAGCCAATGTGTAGCAACAGAGGAAACTGCACACTGCAAGGCGACTTACCAACGTGTAAGTGTGACCATGGATTCGACGGACATTCCTGTGAGCGATGTCTTCCGCAGTTTACTGGTTCCGAATGTGACAGTTGTATTGCAAACGTCATTGGCTGGCCAGTTGGGTGTAACGTGGCGTGTGTTCATGGGAACGGAACAGGTCCAAATGAAGATATTTGTACGTGCCATAATGACTCAAAGCTTGGCTACTGGAATGGAACCGCCTGCGACAACTGTGTGCTCGGCTGGGGTTTGCCAACCTGTACAACCTGCGACAGTACACATGTAGGGGAGAGATGTGATATCTACTGTGTTACTGCGCATGCTCAGTACCGTGATAAACTCGACGGAGACTGGGGAAAATATTCAGTCGATCCGATCATCAACTGTGTTTATAGGGATGGTGAAGGCGAAATGTTCGCATGGTTTGGATACAACAACAGAAATCCCCATAATGTCTACCTCAGTGTTGGACCGAACAACTTCTTTTCCAGGCCTTATACAGAGATTGTTCCTGGCGGGCTAGCTGGGTTTGTTCGAAAGGTTACCGGCTTAGAAAATGCAGCTGATAGCCTCGTACCCCTAGAAACAGAAAATTACGGACAACCGACCAAGTTTAGTCCTGGAAGACACGACAAGGCATTTAGAGTCAGGTACAATTTTATTTGATTTGGCCTCGCACAAACACTGTACGTTTGTAATGGATTATTATACACACTTACGACGTAAGCATGAAAGCGAGGCCTAAGGGCCACATCGCAATTAAATTGTTTATAAAATGGCAGAAGCGCACCCTACTACTATGGCAGGAGATATTTTTCTCACAAATGCGGTGCTGCTGCTCTTTGTAATAACTGTTCCGATAATAGGATCCTTGCCGAAGATTAGCTTCTCCACTGTCCAGTTTCCAACGCATGTTCATTTATAACTGCTTCAGAAATATCTTTAGGGTTAATTTTTTAACCCAAGATTTGATAATACACAAAATTCTCTATATTTTAAGTAACTTTAAAATGAACTATCAAGTCTAAGTTACAAAGGGTGCAGTGGAAACCCTTGTCTGTCACGTTTTTAAGGCAGTTTGATGAAAGGACCTTTCTATACAACATTCTGGAAATAGGCAGTTGTTAAATCTTGAAGCTCCGCCTATACGTTAAAACGTATTTGCTTCTGTTTTTACTTTCAATAGACTGCAAGACACCAACCCAATAGCCTGGGTAACAGCATTCTCAGTGTCCAATACCAGACAGGCAGCAGTAGTGGACCCATCTCTTCTACATTCCATGAGATGTGCTGACATAAACGCTTCGGCTCAGAACGTAAGCTCAAATTTTTTATTGTTTAAAATCAACCTTATCAACAAAATGTATAAGATATAGTCTTTGCAAACGTTACAATCGTAGTCTATAAAATACGATATGATTCGCTGCAGATGTCCATACACGCACGACTGAGATAATTTCTCCTTTTGTTACAGACTTTAAGGGAATCCTTTGTATGTTCGTGTCACGATGGACACTGGGGAAAAGCCTGTCAGCATGACTGTCCCGGAGGACCTGACGCTCCATGTTTCAATAATGGGCTCTGCAACAAAACTACGGGCCTCTGCTCATGTGATCCGAACTGGCGAGGAGACGAAAACTGCACCACATGTTCTCCGGGTTGGCATGGTGTAGACTGTTCAGTCATCATCCAAAGTCCAAACAATCGAACCGCAGCAGCATTTGGGCACGGTTACATTATCACACTCGACGGAGCTGGGTACAGATTTTTGGGTAATGGAGAGTACCATTTGATTCTGTCCCAGTCCTTTGAAGTTCAGGCTCGAATGGTTACGTGCTATTCAACAAGCTCTTGCTTCAACGCAATAGCAGTGCGAATAGAACAACACACTCTACTGGTTCATGGAAGGTTTGCAGTCAAAGAAGAACCTGTAATCTTCCTGGGCGGGAAAAGGACGTACTCTCTAGAATTCAACTTTGGACCAGATAGTCACAAGTTTACGTTCAAACGCACGTCGCGATTACAGTTCATTCTCTCCTCTGTCTATGGCGTCCATCTGATCATTCGCTTATATGACCGATATCTTGACATCCATATGCGAGTTGATAATGAAACGTATTGCCAGGCAACCCAAGGACTTTGGGGCAACTGTAACTACAACGCACTTGATGATCTATCTAGCCGAAACGGTGACTTAATTACAAGGCAAAATGTCACACAATCGTACTTGCATGACTTTTATGGCCTAACATGGCAAGTGATGGCAAAGAAAAGTTTATTCATTTATAAATTTAACACCTACCAGGAAAAAAGACAGTTATCCGGTGGAGGCTACGCACTATTCATCAACAACACTGGTGCACACACTGGAGAAATATTCAGCTTCTCTTCTTCTGACATCACTATTGAGTTTATGGTTCGTGCGGAGAGCCAAAATGGAACTCTTATCTCGTATACAACCACCAAAATGTTCGCTGTTGTTCTAGAATCTGGCAAGTTAAAAATTCGGTACGAAGACACCATCTTGGACACTTTAGCAGTGATTCAAATGAATAAATGGAGCCAAATTGCTTTGGTATGGTCAAAATCTACCTCTATTCTCCAGTTCTACTATTTCAATAGTTCTGGAAACGCGCACAGCCGAAACTTTCCCATACCAAGTAACGAGAACGTGTTTCAACCTGGAGGGATATTGGCCTTGGGCTACTGCCGGCCAGCACCTGCTGGTCTAACAAAGCCACTGAAAGAAGGATTCATTGGCCAAATTGATGAACTTCGAATCTGGAACAAAAAGCTTGATCAGTTGTCACTTTCGGCCAACCTTGAACGAAACATGGACTGTAACACTCCCGTCCAAAACCTTGTTAGCCTTTGGAAATTCAATGAAGGTTATGGTACAGTGGCATACGACTGCGTATCCAACACTCACATTACATTTCAAACCGGTATCTGGCATGGCCCGTTGTGGGTGTTTTCCACAGCTAGCATGCAACAGTTTTCAGTTGACTTTTTAAGCGTGTACAGTTTTAGATTTGGTGACAAGTGGATGAGCGCAGAGGAGAAATGCTTTGATCTTGTTTTTCAATCATCTATGGGGTCACAGTATAGCATGCTAAGTTCCGCAACGTTCTGGTTTTACCATATGTCATGTGTGGCAGCCATAACGCGAAGCAGTTATGTTAATTATGCCTACTCGACAATCATGGCTGTGTCAGATTTCTACCATTTGTTCAATCGGCACTCAACATGGTACGCTCAAAGACTGTGTGGTCAGGTATCCGCGGAAAACTTCCCAGTGTGGTACGGGCTGAACTGTGCTGAATACTGTAGATTTGGGTTTCCACAAAATGACAGATGCTTTTGCATGAAAGGATTTTACGGTGAAAACTGCTCACAGGAATGCCCAGGAGGGTACCTTTCACCATGCGGCGGCCAACAACTGTGTAATAACATCACTGGAAAATGCAGCTGCCCCGTTACAGCAAATATTACTAAAGACTGCAGCTTGTGCAGCCCAGGGTGGATTGGTTCTGATTGTTCTGTGGCACTCGGAAGAAATGGCAGCAACTTAGATAACTACACTTGTCAAGGTTTCGGAGCAGCGCATTACATAACGTTTGATGGAGCTGGCTATAGGTTTCAAACTTACGGAGAATTCTACTTGATAAATAGAAATCAGCTCACAGCGCAGATTCGCCAAATCCCTTGCATGAATGGCTCGTTCTGTATTTCGTCAGTGGCAGTAAAAACCGGCTCATCGAGTATTGTAATAAGAGCTTCTCATGATGGTAACGGCGACGCTTTGGTCTGGTATAACCGGGAATTGACAGGTACCACCACACTTGACCTGGAAAATGACTTTCGTTTTCAGAGAATAGCTCCAAAAACCTATGAAATAGGTAAAAAAGGATCTGGAACTGTTTTGCTCCGAGTGAAAGTTTGGAAGAGGTATCTGTCGTTTGAATTGACATCTGTGGGGCAGTTTTGCACAGTCTCATCTGGTCTATGTTCCTCTTGCGACTCGAATATTGAGAACGATTTTACAAACAGCACAGGTGCAAAATACTCGGAGCAAATCATTTCACAGCAAGAAATTATTTCCATCTTCAGTTCCCAATGGAGGGTCTCTTTTAGTCAATCACTGTTTTTATTCGGCTACACGAGCTACCGCGAGCGACGAGAAATTAATCTGAATGGCTATGCGCTGCAGTTTAACGGTACTTTGGCATCGTCTACCACTTTACCCACGTCATTTGCAAAAGGGCAAGACTTTACTCTGCAACTTTTTGTTAGGGTGCATGATTACGGAGGCACGATTATCTGTTATGCTAAAGAATTTACCTTTGCCATTGTAAACAATGCAAATGCAGCTACGATCCATGTGGGAAAGACCGAGTATGACCTGGGAATCACGCTTCCTTTGAGAATCTGGGCTGAAGTATCGATTGCATACAGTTCTTCTTCTGGTGAGTCGCTCTTTGCCACACAATAGTAAATGGTTTTCAAAAGTGATTAGTTTCAACCGGATTAAGTGATCTAATTTATTTTAAACAAAAAGTAAAAATGTGTCAGTGGGACGACAAAATAAGCGGGGATAGCTTGTCCAGTGTGTATAATAGCGTTATATGTAAATATAACTACAAAAATAGGAGTATCGAATTCTTTTTTCTCTTACCTAATTGTCGTTTTGTTCTCACGCAAAGCAGCTTTGTTATAACAATATGATGTTTTTCTTTTAGGGGTGTTGGCTTACTATCAACTTAACGGTCAAGGCGACCTGTTTAGCAGAGAAATGTACGTCGGACCTAACTTATTTACCTCGGGTGGCACTTTGTGGCTTGGTCACTGGCACATAACTCAGCACCACATCACAGGTGTGCCGCTACAGCCATTCTTTGGAAGCATAGATGAAGTTCGCATCTGGAACTTTTTGCTGGATACTGTACTTATCCGTCAGAGTTTCTTCGCTGTTGTCAATGGGAACCTACCTACATTGAGTGCTCTGTGGAAATTTGACGAGGGTGCTGGTCGAGTGGTGAACAATCTTATAGCCGGTTCATCAAGTATCTATCTTCCTCAAGTGATCAGCAGACGCCCTTTGTGGCAGTTCTCCTACACTCGAGATGTGCTTCCAATAATAGTTGTTAGTCCTACAGTCGTGTTTACTAATGTTACTTTCGAATTCTTGGCCAAAAAGCTCTGCTTTGAACTGATTTACGACATTCGAATGAAGACTCTATGTGGGCAGCTACTAGAGAAAGCCGTTCCTCAGTTTTACTATCAAGCGTGTCTTGCTGATGTCCATTCCTCTGGATCCTTAGACAGTGCTTATGTCATACTATATGCTTATGCCGACTACTGCCAATATGTCCTTCTGCTTCCCTCATCCCCTGCTCAACACTTATGTCAGCAAATTCCAATCAGCCTTCGCCAGGAGTGGATAGGCGCCGATTGTTCCTTTAAGTGCGTCTTTGGACATCCCGACATTCAAAACGCGAGCCTGTGTGTGTGCACACGAGGGTACTGGGGTAAGGACTGCGCCAATGAATGCCCAGGAGGTGGCAATACCCCCTGCAACCAACGCGGAAGCTGTAACGTAAAGAACGGAACTTGTGAATGTGTTTATAACTGGCAGGGAAATGATGACTGTAGTGAATGTACCCCTGGTTGGACAGGATCTGATTGCTCTGTTGCCGTTGCACTGGCCCAGGCACCAACATGCTCAGCCTTCTTTGGAGGACATTATACCAACTTTGACGGCGCTTACTTTAACTTTTTTGGTGTCGGCGAATTTTGGTTGATGAGAGGGCCGGGAGTTCAAGGACAGTTCAGACAAATACCATGTCATAATGGCAAAACGCGTTGTATAAACGCGGTGGGGTTCTCCTTTATTTCTGAATGGAAACTGACGTTCCATGCTCCTTATGAAGAAAGTGAGCGACCTGTTGTTTGGGTGAATGGTAGTGTGACACAATTTAGTTCAACAAGACTCCACATTTCCAGTGGATTTTTCTTGAAACAGACGTCTTCAACGACTTATCTTCTCTCCAGCGAGATTCAAGATCTCACATTTCAGCTGCGTGTAATTGGAAGAGAACTTTTAATTGCAGGTCATGTCAATCAGTCGTTATGTTATAAAACGAATGGATTGTGTGGAAATTGTGATGGCAACAGGGAGAATGACTTCAATCTGACAGATCGTGCGTCTTTGGAGGAAACATGGAGAGTTTCCACTGACGAAAGCCTCTTCATTTATAACTACGGAACTTACAATGAACAACGGCAGGTAACTGGTGGGGAATACGCTTTAAAGTTCGAGCGAATTGGTGTGTCTACCGATCTTATACCTGACGTACTAAATTCGTCTGTTATCACTACCGAACTGCTGTTTAAGGTGCTTGCAAATTCAAAGCCTGGAGGCGTTCTCTTCACCTACAGCAAGACAGTGACATTTACCATGTTTATTAACGTGACCATAAGATTGTGCATTGGGCTGGAGATTTGGGATACTGGAATATCCGCGGAGATAGACAACTGGAACCAAGTAACCCTCGTTTACAATAACATCACCGGTGCCATCTACTTCTACCATATCAATTCTGTAGGTAATATTCGTCAAGCTACCCGTACAATGACTGCCGGTGTATTTAAGAGGGGAGGAAGCACTATCTCTGTTGGTCAGTGGATACCAGCTCTGGAAACCAACACAGGTGAACGCTTTCGTTTACCTGGTTATCTTGGTTTGATCGACGAAGTTCGATTTTGGAACCGTGAATTCAGTGTGCATGATGTCAAAACAAACTGGAGAGTGAACGTTATTGCCACCGCTCGTCACCTTGCTATTTTGTGGAAATTCAATGAAGGACAGAACAACATCGTTCACGATTTGGTAAACGGTGTCCACTTGTATATTCCATCTGTACGCAGCGCTCCTCGTTGGATCTTCAGTTACGTTAACATAAAAATTTTACCAGTTATAACTGAAATCACCTTTCAAACGAGTGAGTTAAGAGTCAAAGCCGAGAAATGGTGCAATCATTACATCGTGACCTCACCCTTGAGCTATGCTTGCAGTGGACTTGGCGGTGGAACCAATTCATTTTATGTCAGAGCGTGTTTAAGGGTAATAGCTGCAAGAAACCAGGTATCGCTCGGAGTGAGTGTGGTGGTAGCGTTTGCAGATACGTGCCAAATGCAACTAAACATCGCCATCTGGCCGGCAAGAAGAATGTGCAGGTAGCTGTTTGGTTAATAACAATAACTAGACTTACGCTTTCAGTTTCAGTTTATTTATTTGCCAGGAAAAAAAAATACATATACAGACATTCAATATATTACAAAAATTAATAGTTAAAGGTTATAGAGACGTAAATTACAAGTGGAAGAATTAGAAGTATGATCACATGAACAGACTACTTTAGACACGACCGTGATCGAGTGCTAATGCGAGATGACCTTTGGGGTTGTCTGTTCAGTAATTCGTTAATCAAAGGTCACATTTATTACTGTCCTGTTTGATCTAAGTGAAGGCAAAAAACCCTGTAATTTGGATCATTCCATTTAACCGTGACTTTGAGACCATTTTCGAATTTAACAATGAGTATTAACACTGTGATTGTTTACTGGCAGATATGGGGCCTTCCAAGGCTCAAGACTTATCAACTGGATCGGTGTAAACTGTGATATTCCGTGTGTCTTTGGATACCAGACTCGAGAATTGTACGGTAGATGTGAGTGCGACAAAGGATTCTGGGGATCGCAATGTGACAAAATTTGTCTTGGGGGACCTGTGAATGTATGCAGTGGACACGGACGTTGCTTAGCTCGAAGTGGAACATGCCAATGTGGAAGGAAATGGCGAGGGGCAACAGACTGCAGCCAATGTACCCCAGGCTATTTCAGCAAAGATTGTTCGGTGGCTATTAGGCCACCTACAGATGAGCTCCCGATAACATCGGTGTTTGGAACTGGCTATTATGTCACTTTAGACGGTGTTAAAATCAATGTGAATGTGGCGGGTGAGTTTACCGTTCTGGCCTTGAAGCGTTATGGACTCAGCATTCAGTTTCGGCAAGTCAGAATAGGCGGTTATGTACGCTTAAGATGCGTCGCTGTACATGTTAGAGCAAATGTAATTGCAATCCATAGCAATATCGGAAGAGTAGGAGAAGTCTTAATAACAGTTAATGGTTTTCCCGTCAACCACAAGACCATTATTTCACTTGGGGTTTCAGGATTTGTATTTCAACGAGCATCGCTAAATAGATATACAATTACTGGTCCAGGAGGTTTCCAATTTGTTATAAACTCCCTTGGGATACACTTTGATGTTTCTATAACTATGGACAGATGGTTGTGTCAACAAGCTTGCGGTCTCCTCGGTAGATGCAGGCTTCCTGGATCCAGTGTAGTTCCATCCAATTGCTCTACCGGAGGAGGCATTTTAGACACTTATGATATCTCAACTGTAACACAAGATATACTCGTCTCTTATGTGAATAAATGGGCTGTCCCAGCCAACGAGAGCTCTTTTGGACCCATCCTAGAAATCGCGGGTGAATCACCTTCAGTAGGCGGAGGAGGGAGCTGTCTATTTTTCAACGGAACATCAATCGTGTCGCCACCTCTGGTAAATGTTTTTGTTGGCAATTACATCACCGTTCAGCTTTTTGTGAAGGCAAAGGACCCGAGATTCTACACAGGCACCATTATTTCATACGCTCAATCCGAGACTTTTGCAGTAACAGTAAACGGATCGATAAGGATTCACTTTGGCGCCATTGTCATTGATACACAGCTAATCCTCGAAAATGAACTATGGAATCACATATCCTTGGTCTATAGACGCAGCTCAGGTCTTGTTCAGTTCTACCTTATTGATTCTTTAGGCGTCATCCAATCCAGAGTATTTTTTATCGGCGTTGGTGTATTCCCAGAAGGTGGTACTTTATCAATCGCTCTCTGGCAGATCACCTCTGCAGTATCCCTGTCTATTCCTGGATTTGTAGGGTGGGTGGACGAGTTAAGTTTCTGGAATAAACGATTCGACGCTGTTATGATTCAGGAGATCTGGAACACCAACTTACAAGTAGATACACCAGGACTAGCACTTCTGTGGAAGTTTAACGAAGGAAGTGGCTTTGTTGCGCGAGCGACATTAGGATCATTTGACTTCAGGCTAGCTACCCCTCCTTTCCGAGGTCCTGTTTGGTACCCATCAAATGCAGTTATAGAAGCCTCTGCTTACGTAATACCGGAGCCTTCAAAAGAAGTTATGAACAATTCAACCCAAGAGCTGTGTTCAGATATTTTTCTTAAAGGTCCTCTACCTGAAGAATGTTCTAACGCGACGGGAGGATCTGATTTTTACTACGACGCTTGCATTGCGGAAGTTACCTCATCAGGAAGTCGTGACTCTGTTCTTGCTACAACAATGGCCTTCGCTGTGGAGTGCCAAGCCGCCCTCAATCTTTCAATGCTGCCAGGTCAAAGGCTTTGTAATGTGCTTCCTGGGGGACGTTATGATGACTGGGTTGGGATAAACTGCACTAAAAAGTGCCTCTTTGGAAGGTATTCAGATGGCGCTTGCAAATGTGACAGTGGTTACTGGGGAGCAAACTGTTCCAGTGTGTGCCCTGGGGGTGCGGATAACCCTTGTTTCGGGAATGGTCAGTGTAACATGGAAACCGGCGTATGCAAGTGTCATCCCAACTGGCAAGGAGGCCAAAACTGCTCTTCATGCACACCCGGTTGGAAAGGTTCATCGTGCTCTGTCGCTGTGACAACAATAGAACCATCTGTTGCAAACGTAACCTTCAAAATCTGCAGCATATCAGAAAGAGGCTACGTGACTGGATTTGATGGCTCACTTTACACGTTTACGACACTGGGCGAATTTGTCATGATAAACTCTACCATCCTTCAAGTGCATGTTCGGCAAGTACCATGTCAGGTTAGCTCCGTATGCATCAGTGCTGTGGGTGTGAGGTTTAATGGATTGTCCATCAGTGTTCACGCTCCATACGACATTAACTCCCGGCCAGTTGTATATGCAAACGATAAACAAATTAGTGCTGGAGGAGAGCCTACTAAAGAAATGTTTATAAGCAATGTCACTGTTCAGCCACTGTCTTCCACTTCCTACAGGATTGTTATTTCACACTATTTGTCCATACAAACAGTCTTTGCAGCTCGATACCTCAGCGTAGAATCCACAATGCCTTTGAGTTTCTGCCAATATGCCGATGGACTTTGTGGCTCTTGCACTAAAGTACCGACCTTAAACGAAACTCAGGGAAATGGAAGTTCTCTTTTCCCGACGAAACGACCAACAACTGTTTTGGAAGAGTTTGGACGAGCAAACGCATCTCATAATAACGTTGATGGCTTTGTAAAAGAGGAACTGTCCGTTAAAGGCGTAGGTGGATCTGTCATTGTTATTGATAAACAAGTCCACAAGGAAACTCGAGTTATATACGGTGGTATCTATAATCTCTATTACAGATTCACCGCAGTAGTTACGCAAAAGGTAGTTCGTCTCTTTGTGAGCGATACGGTATCATTCCAGCTGCTTGTCAAATCGTGCGATCCACGGATATGCGGAGGAACTTTGCTTTCTTACACCTCGAATGTGACCTTTTACATTAGCAATCATATTACGGTGAAAGTTGTCATCGGGCTAGAAGTCTTTAATACAGGAATTGCTACAGAGGAAGGTTTGTGGAATCAGATCACCATTGTATTTTACCGCTTAAAGCTACAACTCTTTGTTTTTGTGACATTTTCATCAGGACTGGTACAAGTGCGAAAGTTTAATGTGACAATTGACCCTTTCATTGTGGAAGGAACATTTGCTGTCGGCATGTGGCAACCTGCTTCTGGTTCCATCAGCGTTCAACCAACCAACGTGTTTTACGGGCAAATAGATGAATTATGTGTATGGAGCAGACCACTTGACTATGCACTAGTTCAGCAAAGTTGGCGATCAAATATTCAACCTAACGCCCCATCTCTTACGAACTTGTGGAAATTCAACGAGGGGGAAAGTGCCGTAGTCAAGGACCTTGTTTCTGGCGTAACGTTATCCTTTCCCAAATATCCTTTAGGGACGCCACAATGGGTATTCTCTGACGCAGCCATAGCCTCCGTGGTTGCAGTGAATACGAATAAGAACAATGCAACTTTGCAGGAAATCGCTACAGAGGGGTGTATCGAACTGATCTTCAAAGGACCTATCTATACTGCTTGTAGGCTACTAGGCAACGTTACCTTGGAATTTTACTTCCGCGCCTGCGTAGAAGCGGTTGTAGACAGTGGTTCAACAGTTGAGTCAATCGATGTAGTTATAACCATCTCCGATTACTGCGAGAAAACACTTAGTTTGTCTTACTGGCCAGCTCAACCATTATGCAACAAATTTCCTGGCAAACGTTTTCCAAATTGGATAGGTGCAAACTGTACAATTCCCTGCATTTTTGGCCAAGCTTCAAATGACAGCGAAGTCTGTAAATGCGACCCAGGCTTCTATGGAGCAAACTGCTCGGGTATTTGTCCAGGAGGAAGAGGACGCACGTGTAACAATCATGGTATCTGTGATGCTGTGACAGGAAAATGCTTCTGCGAGCTAAATTGGAGAGGAAATGAGAACTGTACGGCTTGCTCAAGTGGCTGGGCAGGAACAGATTGTTCAACTGCTGTCACAAGATGGCCCCATGGAGGAGCTTTGTTTGGTGTTGGTGCAGTATTACTCGGTGGGCATTTTACATCGCTCAGAGGCATTAGCTTCACCTTGCACGTGACCGGTGAATATTACCTCATATACTCTATACATGTTTCCGTACTTGTGCAAATTCGACTTGTCTCCTGCTTTGAACGTGCAACCTGTATCAATTCCATTGCGATAAAAATCTCTTCGCATACATTTGTTTTACATGGACCGTACACGTCTGGAGGAGACGTGGTTGTCTGGTTAAACGGAATAATTATTGATATCGATGTGCATCCAATAACTGTTCAGACATACGGATTTGAAGTCAAGAAAATTGCATCATATCTGTGGGAAGTAAAATACACAGGATTACACTTCAAAATACATATCACCGGACGCTACTTGAGCCTGAGCACAAAACTAACGGGCTTGGTTTGCAAAACCGCAATCGGTCTACTTGGTTCCTGTAATCAGGATTTATTAGAATCCCTGATGTCTTTTCATCCAAATAAAAACTGCTCCGATGTGAGCCTTGCGTTTAATAGAACAGAAAACCATAATGCATCAAACAACAAAAGCGCAACTCAAGATGTTATAACAGCGCTTGTTGTTACAAAGCTCAAAGTGAAAGCATGCCAAAGTTTATTCCAGTACGAGTATAAAGACTTGATAGAATATCGCGATGCGAACGCTGGCTACGCCCTGTATTTTGACCAAACAGCGGTCGTTTCTGGAGTCATCTACAAGGCCTTCTTATCTACTGACATAACCATTAAAATCATGTTCAAAACAGTGCGTTACGGAGTTATCTTTGCCTATACAAGCAGCAAGACCTTCTTTGTAACTAACAAAGGAGGAAAATTCACTATTTACTACGGCGACGAAAACTATCCTACAAACATCGCTGCGGAACTAAATGAATGGAACCAGATTAGTCTCGTGTTCAGAAAATCCACTACTGTCTTACAGTTCTACTACTTTTCGCATGGAGGTCAGCTGCATCGCCTCGATATATACACTGGAGTGGATATTTTTGCTCCCGGAGGAATGATCGCTTTGGCTGGTTGGATGCCGTCTTTGGATGGATCTGGAATTCAGCCTGCTGAAAGTTTTGTTGGGGTTGTCGATGAAGTTCGCATCTGGACGCGCTATTTCCATCCAGCGTTCATTTTACAAACGTGGAATCGAACGGTGGACGTAGAAACGGAAGACATCGCACATGTATGGAAGTTTGACCAAGGTGAGGGCATTGTCGCTTTGGACAAGGTCACTGGGATGAAGCTGGAGTTACCATTCAAGCCTTGGAGGAAACCTAAGTGGAGATATTCAGATGTGATATTACAAATGCCATTTTACAAAAGTCCAACATCTTTCTCCTTCAAGAACACAACATTTCAAGAGCAAGCTGAACATTTTTGCAACAGAACGTTATTAATGGGACCGCTCAATACCAAATGTAACAACTTGGGTCCGGGGGTGGCGATCTTTTACTTCCGATCCTGTCTCCGTCATATTTCAACATACGAATCCCTTTACATGTCTTTGGAGGTGATGATATCATACGCCGACTACTGCCAGGCCATCAACAATCTAACAGTTTGGCCAGGAAAAGCACTCTGCAATGAATATCCAGGAAGGGATTTCCCAATCTGGTTCGGAAAAGCTTGCGATCGAAAGTGCGTATTTGGAACAAAAATTGACTCTGAAACTTGCCTCTGTCACTACGGTTACTGGGGCCCTGAGTGCGAGAGTCCATGCCCTGGTGGAGCTGCGAGTCCGTGTGGTAACAACGGAGTGTGTGATAGCATCACAGGCAAGTGCAATTGTCGTGCTAATTATAACGGGACAGTGGACTGTAGTAAGTGCTCTTTAGGATGGACTGGGATCGATTGCTCCCTTGCCTTGGTATCACTAAAGAAGCTACACTTCTCCATCGCGATATGCTCCATTGGCGGTCATTACATCACCTTTGGCGGCTATAGCTTCACCCTTGTGGCTGTTGGTGAGTACTACGTAATAAATGTGCCTCACAAGTCATTTCAAGTTCACGTTCGTCAGGTACCGTGCAGATTACAATCGGTCTGTGTTAACGCCATTGGAATAAGGGTTTTATCAACTGTGATATCATTCCATGCTCCGTATGTAACAGGTGGTGGTCCAGTTATATGGGTCAATGGAAGATTTATACCTTTATCAGGTCTAGTCTCCAATCTCGGAAACCGTCATCATCGCATTCTACTGAAGTATGAAGGTCATAGCCACTACCAAATATCTTGGAAAGACCACTTTGTGATCCGCATTCGTATCACTGGACGCTACTTGAGTTTCAAGGTAGAGGTCAACCCTGAGTACTGTAAGAACTCTACGGGTCTACTTGGCTCTTGCGATAGTGATCCTAACAATGATCTCAAAATCAGTTCGAACACAAGTGTCATCCCAGCCAACGCCTCTCAGTCACTCTTAAACGATGGAGTTGGAAGCAGTGCTGCTGTACTTGATAGGGACAGAGTCATTGTTTTGAAGTACAAACATTACCAAGAAACAAGACTACCATCTGGAGGCATATACGCCATTTTCGTCAACAGAACGGGAGTTTCATCTAAGCCACTGACGAGAACATTTATATCCCACGTCGATATAACGGTCGAAATCCTCGTTAAGCCTTACCAATTGGCTGGAACAATTTTTTCTTACGCAGCTGTACAAACATTTGCGATAACAATTGAAAATTTCTTCATAATTCATTTTGGAAAAACTGTCATTGATACTGGTGTAACGGCAACAATCAAACAGTGGAGTCACATATCGCTTGTTTGGCACTATAGGACAAAAGTTCTGGAATTCTATCACTTTGACTTCAATGGGGAAGTACAACGAAGGTCGTACACGTTATCTTCCCACCCATTCCTACCTGGTGGAGTCCTTTCACTTGGGCGGTGGGAAGCTTCGCCTGGTGACAATGACGCCTGCACTTTTACTTCGTTTGTTGGTATCTTTGATGAATTTCGTGTGTGGAAACGTGCTTTTAATCCAGCTCTCGTACGACAGAACTGGCGTATGAATGTCCTTCCAACACATCCAGACGCCACAGGTCTTTGGAAGATCAATGAAGGTGAGGGTGACGTCATTAAGAATTTGGCGAGCAACGAACACTTATATTTGCCAAGGTTACCATGGCAACAGCCTAAGTGGGTTTTCTCTGATGCTGAGGTCAAAACCAATTTTACATCGAAGAGCAAGCCATTTGAGTCGCACTTTTCAAATAAAGCACTAGAGAATATGGCCAAATCTTTCTGCTTCGAGCTCTTTTACAGTAGCCAAATTTCTGATTTCTGTTACGCTGGCTTAAAAGCTGAACTTGAATTTTTTTACCTTGTTTGTCTAAAAGATATAGCAACGACTGGATATTTGAATACAGCCCGGACAGCTGTTGTAACCTTCTCTGACCATTGTCAAGCTGTTCTTAATCTTACCAGCTGGCCGGCAAAACCACTTTGTAATAGGTTCCCTGGAAGTCATTTCCCTTTGTGGATTGGACATAAGTGTGACGTAAAATGCGTGTTTGGTACTGTGGATCCTGACGATGGTAACTTGTGCATGTGCTCTGAAGGCTACTGGGGAAAGGACTGTTCTCATCTATGTCCCGGAGGGCCACTGCATACATGTGGAGGACACGGCCGGTGCGACAGAACTAGAGGAAAATGCAAGTGCGAAGTGAATTGGGCCGGTAACTCCAACTGTAGTAGCTGTAGTCCTGGTTGGAGTGGAATCAACTGTCAATTTGCCGTCAAACCCGTCAAAGGTGTAACTTTGAACACAGTTGTCGTTGCATCAGTTGGAGGATACGGCTACTTCACAACGTTCTTCGGTGTTAGTTTTACCCACAGAGTAGTTGGCGAGTTCTACCTGTTGCGATCACCTGCACACAACTTCTTCATCCAGCATCAACAAGCTCCATGCGTCACTGGTGATACTTCTACCTCCCTTTGTACAACAGGATTTGGATTTGGTTTCGGTAGCAGCCATGTTGTTATTCGTGCTCCTGTCACAATACTTTCAAAAGCAGTTGTCGTATTCCCGCTTGTCTGGTTGAACAACAGAGTAGTTCACATTCACCACAGAACCCAACTATCCGTGCACTTCGTTATGGTCCGGCTGTCCAATGCAACGTTTCATATCTACGGTCCACACGGAATTAAATTTTCATTAACTGTTGGCCATAGTCTTGCTGTGATAATTCGTATGCCAGCTGCATACTGTCAGAGTTCAACAGGTTTACTTGGAGTCTGCAAAAGCCATACTCTTAAGGGATCCAGCAACCTTGAAACATATATCACGGCTCTTAAAATAAATTCAGTAGTAGATCCTTCCAAGTCAATGTTCATCTATAAGTTCCTACACTACATCGAACATCGCGTGCCCACGCATGCTGGATTCAATCTGTTCTTCGAAGACCATTACGTTCGCTCTCAGCCCATGTACTTCCCTAATGTTGATGTTTTAACAGTCGAACTGCTTGTTATGGCGCCCAGACTAGGAGGAGTCATCTTTTCGTACTCAAGCCAAAGGCGTTTGGCTATAGTTAACAATGAAAAATTAATGATCATCTACAGTGGATCATTGTTTCACACAGGGCTGACCCTTGAGATTGGCCAGTGGAATCAGATCTCCCTGGTTTATAGGAAGATGGTTGGAATTCTTCATTTCTATTTGTTTAGCTCTTCTGGGGAAGTCAAAGTCCGCGTATTCAAACTTGATAACCACGTTTTCACAAATGGTGGCGTCTTAGCGCTTCGACAATGGCAGCTGTCGCCTGGTTCCGATAATTCGCTTCCTGGATCTAGCTTTGTTTGGCAAGTTGACGAAATGCGTATCTGGAAAAGACGGCCAAGCCCAGACCTAGTGAAAGTTAATTGCAGAGTAAATGTGCCAGCCCACGCCTATCCAGACTTGCTACACTTGTGGAAGTTCAGTCAGGCTAAAGGAAGAGTCATTCGTGATTTGAGAGGAAAGAGCGACTTGCTCACGGTGAAATTTCACAAGCCTCACTGGTCGTTTTCGGATGCTGATGCCCGCAGTAGAAAGCCTATTAGCAAGGACATTGCTTTCATTAACACAAAACTAAGACAAGATGCAGAATCTTTCTGCTATAGTCTTATTCTCAACGGCTCACTGTACGCCAGATGCGAGGCTCTTTCTCTTCAGGTTGCTCAATTTTATTACAAAGCTTGCCTCCGTGACATTTTGCTGTCGCGTAATTTACACTCTGCTGTTCACGCAGTTGCTACATTTGCCGACTTCTGCCAGAACTCACTGGAACTGATCGAATGGCCAGCCAGAGAACTGTGTCATCGCTCTCTGCTTCAACGAACTCACGCTGGATTGGTTCGCGTTGCACTGCGATGTTCAAATAACTGAATGAAACAAACTTTGAAGACGATCGATCTACTAAACGGCGTTTCCAAAATATACAATAAACTTCTGAATGTGCACAACGAGTAATATTAATTTAGAATAGAGTGGAATTAGTTGCTTAATTTTCCAAAATGAACAGTTTTTAATTAGCAAATAAAGGTGCAGTGCACTTGCAGCTAGCGCTTATTGAATGCTACAGCAGAAAAGCAAACTATGTACGTCTCGAAGATATATAGACAGAAAAAGCCAACCAAGTAAACAAATTACACCTTAGATTCTCCTAGATGGTGGGAAAAAAAACTATAAGCAACAGTGATAACAATTTTGCAGTTCTATTGAAATGATGAATTGACTGGTTTGAAAGCCTTTCTCTGTCAGTCAGATTTGATCAGTGACCACATGATTGTGTTCACCTTGCGTTCAGATAACAATCGTTGCTGTATTAGTAAAGTGCTAAATTAGACTATCCATATTAATCTTTGAGTTTATTTAGTTAATTAATTAGTGATGAAACAGTCCAAAATGTCAAACATAAATGAAGAGGGCTGCACTAGCGTCAATAGTAAACATGATGAACTACGTGTCAAAATACCTTTTAATTCTTGAAAAAATCTAATTTAGCGATTAAGCGTTACATGCTAATGACATGGTACTAAACTGAACGTATTTTAGCTGTTTTCTGTGGAACACTATTTTATTTGAGTAGATATAAACAGTTTTTATTAAATTTTCAATAAAGTACTTCAAGAGTTCCAATACAAGTCTTGCGTGTTATAACTAATAGGGTACTGCAGTTTCGAATTAAATATTACCGCTGAATACAAACATTAACGACACATTCATACAATTCTGTGCTCTCACTCACGTGGCCAGCATCTATGCAAATGTATTGGAACAAAAGAAAGCGTTTACATAAGAAAAGAGTTCAACTCCCACAGGACTGGTTTGGGACACAAATATGGCCGCCATTTCATTGTTTTGGGACACAAATATGGCCGCCATGACGTCAAGTGAAAACACACAATAGCAGAGTAATAACCAGGTCTTTTTCTCGTTGGAATTTGTGAATACATTGCTTCAGATGGAGGCTAAGCCTGTAAAAATGCGTTATCACTTCTTTAATTCAGCGGTCATAGCGAACTAGAAACTGGACTATTAACTTGCAATAAAACTTGTGTATCCAAGTGGTTCATAATTCTTTCTAGTTTAAGTAACATGTAACATTTGGGAGTAGTATGACTTACCTCTTTTGCGAAGTGATGGTTCCAGTCAACGGGGGTGGGGGGTGGGGGGGAGGGAGGTTTCTCGTGTGCATTGAAAACAACTAAAGCCTCTCCTGTTGAGGGTACCATGAAGTAATTTGAGTTACCTAGGTAATTGATTGAACTTTCTTGGTTTAAATTAACGCCATAAGTAAACCCAATTGGGATGTTGGGAGAACAGTAGAATTACGTGTAAATTCAGTACTAGAATTCTGTTTGTCATTCTTACGGTTTCCTCTCCTATCATCATCCCGCATGCGTCAACTAAACGGGTTATCCAATGGAAAGTTGAATCTTTCACTTAACGCTCCGTTTCCACATAATGGTCCGGATCGTCTAAGACTTCTCAGAATGTGTTCAGTCCACCGTCCAAAAAACCTTTGGGCGATTTCTTTAGTCTGAACGTGGCCTGAGGTTGCGCGCTAGGTTGTAGGTTTGTTTTACACTAAACGACTCCTGATTAGGGCAGTTCAGCTTTGGATATTACAGTTAAAAGACCAGGCTTATTTTATGTTGGCATTTACTACAGATTTGTGCACTATGGGCTTAACCCAGCAAGTTTCCAGCATCACCGATGCAATAGCATTATGCAGATTATGTTAATTATCTTGAAAGAGGCGCGATAGCCCGCTTTCCAACAACCAGGACGAAAAGGATCACAGAGATCAAAACAAGTCATTGGAAGCACTTTACGGTACGTGTCTACTGCCAAATGGCAACGGAGATTATGTTCAGTGTATTAAATATTTGGCTGGTATCACACATTATTGTTATTATTATTAACATCATCATCATTTGCAATTGTTTTGCTTAATTAAAGCTTCATTGAGACCGAGACTAAATCTTAGTCTCTAGGTACTGTCTAGTTGATTTTATATAAAACCCTTCTCAAAATATGTTAAACTGAGGAAACAGCCTATATTTCGCGATCCCACTGGTGGTTTTACAACGAAATGACGTCTGAGAAACAAGGGCAAAAATTCCATACTGATTACGCATCACTACCCAGATCTGGGTAGTTCATCTTATTGGTTGTGCCCCGTGGGAAATTTGCTTCAGCCAAAAGGTCATTGTATTTTGAGAGTTTTTCCGTTTTTTTAGAGGTATTCATGTCTGATAGTATTACAATCTAAATCAGGTTACAAGCCTGGTTTATGTGACTTTTAATCGCAATGTCTGGTTTGTTAACAGCAATTCCTCAATCTGCAGTGGCGGATCCAGACTTTCAGATAAGGGGGCGGCCCGTCATCCAGACCCTGAGATAAGGGCGGGGGGGGGGGGGGGCCTGGTCTTAAAAGAAAAATTTTTCAGCACTTTGAGCCTCAGTTTGGTCCAAAAATAAGGGGGGCCTGGCCCCCCTGGATCCACCACTGGTCTGTGACGGTGTTTGCATCTACCATATAACAGTGGCACCCTCATTTTCCACAACTGTCTGTGGGCTGTGATCACATGCATACCATTTTCCCTGTATTTTAAACCTGTAATTCTGGCATATCTTCTAATGAATGTATGTTGTGGCCTTGACAGGTCTACGAATACATCATTATCATTATCATAATAATCATCATTTTATTGCCCAGACTAAACAATACTTTGCATAATCTGTACAAAGGTGGGATATAACTAGACAGAAAAGAAAGACTGAGAGTGATAAGGAAATATGCATTGTAATTTATATCATCTTAAATCAAACAAAAAGTACCTCAAGGATAGGGTTATTTGACATCAGTATTTTTGACATGAAGATGGCCCAAAATGTCAAATCTCCCTGGGTACACTAGCCCCGCAACCCTGGTGCTTAACATTGATTAAATGTTAATTAATCTCAGTGGCATTTCTAATGTAATTCAAATATATTAGACATTGGACATCACTTGTGGTTTCATCCTTACACTTAGTCTGCCACACAGCGTTTTTAGTGTCGCCATGCAATGCTCCTCCCCCCTCCTCTCCTCCAACAGCATGACTGATGAAACAAAAAACTGCTGTTTGGCAGTCTAGCTTACACTGGGTTTCAATAAATCCAAGACTATAATTATTCTTGTTTGTTCCTTTATGCACAATAATTGAACTTCAAACCCATTGGAGTCACCACCAAAACAAATGATGCTATCCAATTAAATTTAAATCACATTAAATTTCAGATATTTAATATTCATGAATATTTTCTTTAATACAAGTATTGACCATAAATCATTCTTTTTAGTATGAATTTTCATTTTACTGCAAATAGACTGTTTTTGTAACTATTTTGGTAGTAGTTTTTTAAATTTTTAAGTATGTCTTTTTAGTATGAATTTTCATTTCATTGTAAATAGACTGTTTCTTATAAGTACCTTTTTTGATAGTAGTTTTAAAATTTTTAAGTATGTCCACATCAGCTTTATAAGTTGCAACTCCTTACCTTCATTACCAAATAAATCATGTATGTATAAGCTTATGTATTGGCATTAGTTTAGCTATAAAAGCAACCAGAGTATTAATGCACCTATCAATGTTAAGCCCCAGGGTGGGAGGGGCGGGCAGACCCAGGGGAATTTGACATTTTAATGGAAGCCAGAGTCAAATTCCCCACCCCCAGGCACCTACTAAATGTCAATTTCCCGCCTCCGGGGTAACTTTTTCTAACAGAGTCAGGACTTAATAATTAACAGGTTGGAAAGGATATGTCTTTTACAACCTCACATAGTGTTCACTGCAACACAAGAGAGGCAATGCCAGAAAATGTCATCCTCTGCAGGGCATAATAAAGGTGGCCAAGATGCTCTAACACAAACTTGATGGTACCACATGTCACATGTGTCACACTGTATCCACAGGACTTGTTCTTGGGCATTATCAGGATCCTCACTCTTGCAGATTTGGCAGACCTGTAAATTACAAAAGGAGACTACTCACAAGCCATGATTTTTAAACTAGTAGCAATTGAAAAACATATACTTCCAATCTAAAATGAGTCCAAAACTGCACTGACAGTAAAGTAACTAGCCTCTGTATTTTGATTCTCTGTCTTTTTGTTCAATCTTCTTTCCCTCCTCGTCTTGGCTGCCTTTGATGCACCACGTTTCCGATTATCCTGGACAGTTTGAAGATGTTGGAACCACATGGATACCTTCGGAAAGAAGTAGAAAAAAAGTCACAAAAAAAAACAAAAGTATAAATATGTGCAACAACAACTTACCTCGTTTTGGGGGAGTAATACGTCAGCAGCAGCAATTTCAGTGTCTCTTCTGTTAAAGAGTTCTTTCAATACTTCTGTAGGAGGCTGAACCGCTTCGATGGTTTTATCAGCATGTCTGGCAAACAACTCTTCAGGCACCATATAATGGCCAGAGCAGAATCCACTACACTCCTTACAGGCTAGATTGCCATAGGGTCTATAAAGAGGAAAACATATTCAATTTCAACTTTCGTATACAGTGTTTTGTATTACCTCTTCATTGACCAAGTCATGCAACACTTAAAATAGCAAATTCTTCACTTGTTTTACCTCTTTGGATCTGGCACAGGAAGAGGGGTGAAGCTGAGAGGAGGACCTCCTGGGTACCAAGTTGGTTCAACAGCTGGCCTTCCATCTTTGCACAGAGGGTGAATACACTCATCTTGGTAGCAGCAGGTTAAATGGAAGACATACTTATCTGGTAAACCAGGAACTAGGTGACGGGCTCGAAGGTTCCATACATCTTCTATCCTCTGAACATTCATGAATATGCAAACATGCACAAAAAGTAATCCAAGAGAAACAGAAGGAACGAAGACTCTTCTATTTATAAACATTCGATCATACAATGAAGAAGTGATGGTTCATGTATACCGAAAAATAAAACAGATTTCCTTACCTTTCTTTCGCTCATGTTGTCTTCATAATTTGAAGAAAAGCAGAGGTCATTTACTTCTGGTGACTTCTGGGTATTACCAAGAGGGCAGGTCACTCATTTCCAGTTTCTCTCGGTCTTCCAAGATGGCGGCCATGTCAAATTCCCGACCCTGGGGCAACGCTTAAATGTCAAAATCCCTACCCAGGGGAAGGCACTCTCAGTCAATTTCCCGTGGGTAGCCTGCCCCCCACCCTGGGGCTTAACATTGATAGGTGCATAACCAAATCACTGAAATCACTTGAAAGAAGAGGAATGAAGGTGAAAAAGTAACGTTTGAGGTTTATTTGAGGTTTTAGGGACTTGCCGAGAGCATTTTTACGATTTTGTCGCAAATTCAGTGACGAAATAATTTTCAACCTACCGGTAAAGGTAAACAGCTCTTTTGTCTTCCAACCCTGTCACGAAACGGGACGCCATGTTACATGTAAGCAACCTCGTTCCCAGGTTCGAGAGACCCTTGCTGGGTCTGGCCACGTATCTTCAAGAATCCGGGTGATGACAAACAAACGATTCGAGGGAGGGGCAGATTGGTGAGAAATTTGTCGCCAATGACCCCAGGGGAGAACGGAAAGTGTCTTTATCAAAATAAACTCACGTGCTTGCCCTAGCCAGCTCAAACGTTCGCCTACCTCGTTCCCAGGGTCTTCTCGCTTTCCATTATTGGAAAGCGAGAAGACCCTGGGGACGAGTTTGAACGTTCGATCTCTCTCTAGACTGTTCACAGTCCCCTCTTTTTTCGTGAGATCGAAATAGATATACCGCGTCTTACCGTCACGGCTATCTTGATTTTTAAATGTACCTGCCGAGTGGGCGTCGGTGATTATAATTTATCTCGCCTCCTCCCAAACCGCTCCCGCCCCCTAAGTAGTTTTGACACTCATGCAGGATGGCAGCCCGTAACGCAAAGCGCTCGATCTCGATGATCTTACAGGAAAATAGAGGACTGTGAACAGTCTAATCTAATCTCTCTCTCGCTCCGTAGGACGGGTAGGAGAGAACCTTGAGTTTGCATGTTGAGCACCGACTTGTTTAGCCTGTTCCAGGCTCCGAGATAGTGGTGAAAAGTCGTTCGCCCCCTTTCCCAAGTCGCGCGCGTCTTATTTTCGCTTTGGTCGTTTAATACGTCCCCACTATACTATCTGAGAGCCTGGCACAGGCTACGACTTGTTCCGCCCCAAAACAGTGAATAGCCTCCCATACACATGTTTTTAGGGTCTGCTCTAGGATTGGAGGTAGGTACGAGGACGAAGCCCTATTATTCCCTTGGACGCAGCGTACCAAACAAAGAAGGGAATCGGGATTCTTGGAGCGGAAAGCATCATTCCGCAGTATGAAACGTCGTGAACTGTCCATCATATAATCTCAGCCCCTCCAGCCGAGGTGGTTCCGGTGGCTTACTCCCGAGTTCAAGAAGCCCTCGGTTTCAAATGAGGCCAAGTTCATAGACCACTGTTGCACGGAAATACCTAGTACTGAACAAAAATGAGTCGGCTAGGGAATGAATTCAAAGCTGTTTATTTGATCACGGTGAATTTACAAATTCTTAAGTTTACTTTTGTCATGCGTTCACTATTTACATTCAAGAAATTAAATACAATACCATCCTGCCATTAACGAAGAGGCAAATATGAGAATAATCTGTTCGCTAAGCACCAAGAACAAAAATCGAATTACTTATAAACTATTCTCGATATAACATAATTTTCCTATGGGAGGAGTAGGTACAAACTACGCTGCAGCTTCTTCAGGTAATCCTCTGTATCCCAGGGAGAGTGTGATTTTGCGCAATGTCGGCTGAGCTTGAGGAAACTCCTGATTCAAGCGATCCACGATGGTCATGAGGGACTGGAGGCGAGCCCGCTGTTTCTGGAGCTCGTTCTCTAGTGTCTCTGGTGTTTTGCACAACGGTGTGTAGCGTCCATTCTTTAACTGAGTGTAATATTTCAGCTTCTGTTGTTTAGCCACGATATCGGCCAGATTCTGACGAGTGAATAGGTGTCATTAGGTATAACTAACATTTTGCTGAAAACTTTCACATGCAATGCGATCGGCCGTTTTTATGCTAGAGACGTTAAAGTTATCTACACGTATTTAACGTCTGACTCCTTTAAGTCGACTGGTGTAAAAACGGGACGCGGAAAAGTAGACGATAACACTAAAAAACCAGAGTCTTTTTCGTAAAAAACAAAAATACACAATTCTGACTCTTCCCAGTCATCTCTGGACGAGTTGGGTATAAATGAGTTCCAATTTACGGCATCCCGTTTTTTTTAAAAACGGTAAATAAGACAGGCGCACTTAACGTCTGAGACCTTAAAGTCGTCTATTAACTGCGTCTGAAAGACGCAACTTAACAGAAGACGTCAATGCCGTCAGACGTTAAATGCGTCTCCCTTATCTACCGTTTTTATCCTAGACGTTAAAGTCGTCTTAAGACGACATAAACGTCTCACACGACGAAAGCTTCTGTACCATAAATTCATACTGCACACAGTGCACAATGATGCATACATATCCCGAATAAAGTTAGCTTCCAGTTCATTTTAACATCTATTATAGCAGGGAATGAATTTGCGTTCACTCTACCAAGGCACAGTCGTACCTCCCGTAACAGAATAAGCGAAGAATGGTGGTCACTTTCTCAAATGTAGGCCTCTTCTCTGCGGAGGCCTCTTTGTGTCACAAGGAGGCTAGGGTAACCTGAGAAAACAGCCGACATTTCACGACACCACCACTGGTTTCCCCGCGCAATGACGTCTGAGAAACGAGCGCAGAAATTCCATACTGATGACGCGTCACTACCCAGATCTGGGAAGTGATACGTCATCAGTATGGAATTTCTGCCCTAATTTCTCAGACGTCATTTCGCGGGGGAATCAGTGGTGGCGCCATGAAATGTCGGCCGAGAAACGTCGAGAACAATTTTTCCCATCTCCCCCCGCACAGATTCGTTGCAAAGGACGATGACCAAGATATGACACAATCTTTCACTAGGGGCTAGGAGTTGTAATTCAGGTGTTGGAAACTCACCCTCTGCCTCTCCTCCGATAGTGTATCTATTTGCACCTCCAACTCATCAGCACTGGTCTGTAGCTGCTGGCACGTCGTCTGTTTTTCTTCTAACTCGCGGCTCACTGACATCTGTTTTTCACGGAGCACTTGAATATCTAGGTTAAACAATGTAACAGCTTTTTTAAGCACCTAATACTCCCACAAGAAATCTTTTTTGTTCAACATTTTAAATTCCATGAAGAAAGAAAGAAGGCGATTGTTATCTTGGCGATTTCTTCTTCCTTGTGCTAATGCACTGGCCCCCTTGCTCGTCTTTGAGAAACGCACAGGAACTACAAGGAACTAGGGATTAAAGAGGTACACAACATACTCATCATTTTGCCTTTATGGGAGTTGGACCCTAACACGTCAGTTTTAAAGGCAGACCATCTAGCTATTGAGTGATAGGAAGACTCGTTGCAGTCATGAAAGATGCATGTAATATAACACCAATTTTTTTCGCCTGAAAAGATGTCTTCACTTGTGAAAAGCTCACCATTACAATCCTTAAAAATAAATCGCGCCTTTCGACTACAAAATAAACCCCGTCCCCACCCTTAACTCCAAACTCACATCCTCTGGCTTATCAGCCGGAAGAAGCAAACCAAAAATAAACAGCTTACCAGTATCACAGGCGTTTGCATCTTGGTTTGTCTGCTTGATTTTCTTTTTCATCTCAGCTAGTTTCTTCTGGAACGTACCTTTGGTGTTTGTCACCTTACCCATCTTGGCTTGAGCATCTCCACTAAGAAAAACAGCAGTTAAGAAACACATTAGAAATAATCAGAACAGAACACTATTCTTCTCGTGCATGTCAGCTGGTTGTATCTTTTGCCTTACTCGTGGCCGAATTAAAGAGCGCATAAAATGAGTCAGAATTGGCCGGTCAGACCCGTCCAGTTGAAAGAAAATTTTACTTTTAATCAACACTGTCCAGCGAGGTCAGTGTATCCCGAATAGCACGCATCACAATGACAACATTTTAGCAAAAACTCTCACTGAAAGCCAATTCCATTTTCAAAATGATCGGTCAGGCTGCACACTTCTGACTTTGTGCCCTAAATCTGCTCGTTCTCACCACCAGTGTACAGATGGGTTACGTTGAAATTAGTATTTCGATTTGACACCATGGTGGTTGTTTTTTTTTAGTCTTCTGCTTTTATATGCTTGTTTGTTTGTTTTTATTTAGTCTAATCAAATCGGTTATGTGTACGTAATAAACCCAAACGAAAGAAATAGACCTTCTTAGCTTGTATGTTTTGTTTCACCAACTCAGACCCAGTGATGTCCTTCAGGGAATTTGCCTTTTGTAGTTTCATAAATTATGCATACATATGCACGTGGATGCAGGACGAGATTTAAAAGAAACAGTCCTCTGGGGTACCATCACGTGGTCTGAAATAGCAGCCAAATTAACAAGCTAAAAAGATCCATTACTGTGGCCAATCGCAACAAAGGCCGACATCCAATGCGTCAATCAGATCAAAACATGTGCAACCGGCTCCAAGCGTGGGAAAATGCGCGCGGGTACGTAACAAATGGGACAAATAGCCCACGTTCAATATATTAACATGCATCCGAGGCTTTCTGGTCATTTTTCTATATTTGGTTTGGTTTTCTTTGTACCCAAGTCTCTTCTGGGAATTGCGGGTCTATGGAGTCGTGAAACATTTGCAATTTTGACCCTTCTCGGAGTCATGTTAGAATTTTAATATATCGAACGTGGGCTATTCTAACCGGCCCGAAAGCCGGTACACATGCACATCACCCTCACTGCTGCTCGCTTCACTCACTGCTGCTTTGCTGTTCACAGGCTATTGCTTTAGCTTCTGCTTATGCAAAAGCAAAATTAAATTTTTTACTTTCGATACTGAATAGAAAACGGCACTAAGATAGAGTCGGACCGCTGCGCAGTGTGTAGTTACCGTGTAATGATGACTTCTCTCCGCACAACAGACTTTTCCATATCCTGAATCATCTTCTCCTGCTGCCTCATCAGCTGCGAGTAACGAACCTAGAAACAAATTAGAAATCGTTAGCAGCTGGTCTCAAAGACAAGCGCTGACTTGAGATCAATTGTTCAAGTAAATGAGTGGCTCAGTTTCTTTGCTATGTGGGTTATATTATGATTTCATTGACAAAAATATTCACGGTAAATAGTTCGGAGAAGGAGACAGTTATCTGACAAATACGGGTCACCGTAAACTGTTTAGGAAATTATATTTGAATTCCTTAACATAACTACAAAAGCGTTAAGGCTTAGAATTTGCGCCACTACTGATGTTAAAAAAAGGCTGCGAAACATCTTCTGTGGTGGATAAAATATGAGGAAAGGTATTTGTAATAGCACCAGATCCGTAGGAACGGGTGAAAAAAAAGCGCTTACAGTTTTAAACTATTTTGGGCCTAACTGCAAATGGGTTGCCACGTCTCCAACTGTCGAGAATTACATTTTTGAATAATCTGGTTTATATTTCTTTCCACAGGAAGAGTACCAGTTAAAAAATTAAATGTCGCATTTGAACAGAACTGTAAAGGAAAACAGCCATACGTAAAGAAGCAAAGTGGACTGATTGCAACACAACTTAGCCTTTCTGACGCAATTGAATGCGCGCGCCCGCGAACGTCTCGTGCAGTCTTTCAGCCTACTGTGACGTCATACCAACTGATATACAAACCAAACAGATACATTCAGTTCTACTGTCGGTGTCTCAATTGATCTTCCCTGGGTACGTAGCGAGAAGTCAAACTTTATTCACTTGCACTAGCTGTACTTTCTTTTCTTTTCATTGACGACTTTCATTTGATAGTGCGGAAAAGCTGACGAACAGGACAACTACTAGAGTTTCTTTACAGATAAAAATTTCAAAAGCTGCGTAAGGGAAGTCAGACGGCGGTGTTAGGTATGATTACTCAGAACCATATTGGTTAAACAATGTTGCATCGTTAACACACCATGTTAGCAGTTGTTCGACCAAGCTATTTTGGTTCATTTGGTGTCCGTGTTAATATGATTCGGCTTCGCCTCCGACATAACAGTGTTATTACTGTCTATGACAAAATAGAGTGTTTATAATTCTTAAACAAAGGAAAGTTTTCTGACCTGCATTCTGTGTATCTCTGCTTTCATGGCTTTGATTTCGCCTTGACCGTACTCCAGGTCAACAGCGTTCTTAGCTTCACGAGCTAGCTGCGTCTTCTTCTCCCACAACATGATCTGACGCCTAAAGACAGCAAACAAGTACCGTTGAAAATATATATTTTGAAGAATATTTTAACTTTTGAAAGAATGTTTCTTAAGGGTACGGCTGCGCCAGCTAGATGACTTAAGCCCGGCTATTTGTCGTCCAGATGATTTATGCTAGCAACAATCAAGCAACAACAGTCGAAACTCTTCGGCTACCGCCATGGGTTACAAACGGAGCTAGCTTTGCTGTCAAAATTCGGGTTTACCTCGTATAATGACTTTCGAAGTTTTTTCTTAGTTTTGTACCTTTTATTTTCTTCAGCCCCATCGCGTTGACTTCTTTTGTTTTCATTGTTTTAAGTCACTCATGATGGTTACAGGTTCTTACACCGCGGATGAGCCCAGAAAGAAGCTTCATTCTTTGCCTCTTTACTTAACCCTGCATTTAACAGTTCGCTCTGTGAACTAAGTCACTTACTCTGCCTCCACTAGGCTGTTGAGCAGCCTTTCTTTCTCCTCCTTGAGCGCGTCGATCTGATTCTGCATGTCTATAGACTCTCTTTCGGCCTCCTATCATACAGATTAAAACAGACAATAATAAGGAATCTGTTTTGGCTTCAGCAGATCTACAAATAAAGTGTTATGCCACTGGATTTCGAGCAAAAAGGATTGTAGCTTAACAAATTAGGGTAATGTTTTCAATTTGATCCTTCCTACACAAACAAACTGAACCAAAAAAAAGAATTTAGGTGAAGAGGGTTGGAGAAAAATTGGTGCGAGATTGATCCAGTCAAATGGTTTTGCCGCACAACCTATGTAGAAGTTCTCCTCTTCACCTCTGTTTTTTAAGCAAGATACTTTCCCAGATTCTAAGGGTGGACAACTTACAACCCCCACCCAAAGCTCAAGGATGTCCAGCGCCTCGAGTGGAAGAAGCACAAGTAAAACAGCGTCGTAGATAATTAATCACTTACTTTGAGCGCCTGAATGAAGTCGCTCTCCATCAACACGGTCCCCTGTTGCAAAGCTTCTCTTAGCCCACTCTCTTTGGTAATCAGCGTGTTCAGTTTTGTCATGTCGTTCTGCATACTGCGGATATTTCGTTCAATATCTTGCATCTCACTGTTGTGCGAGTTGATTTCACCTACGATGAAACGTAGACAGAAGAGAGGGCAATAAGACAACCCCCGAGATTGTGTGGTCGCGAAAAGACTCAACACATGAAACACACGAGTTGAGTGTTTCCGAGAAGACCTCAAAAAGAAAGGTAAGTGTAAAGAGTCCTTATTTTACGTCGGTAACTGGAAATAGTCATCTGACTAACAAACCTGAGGCCGACGGTGCGCTCATTTTACCCCCCCCCCCCCCCCTTTCTCCATCAGTGCTTCGTTTTACCGTTTCACGGGTACTTAAAAGCTACGTAAAGCAATACGGAAAGGAAAGAAGTCGAAACAAGGATTTGAGGTCACACCTGGGAATCGAACTCGGGACATCCCGCACAGAAGGCCGCGCAATAATCAGCTGCGCTGATCCTTCGTCCTTAAAAGAAAAACAGCATATTTATCCGGTCCAACGGAGTAATTTTCAAAGAGTTGGCTCGGCCCGAAGGCAACCTCGTCCCCCTGGCGCTTTTCCCTGGCTTTGGAGGTCGGTTTTCCCGCCCCACCTTCAAAGCCAGGGAAAAACGCCCTGGTGACGAGGTTGGCCCGAAGGATGATCTACCTAGCCGGGTCACCCTTTGGTGATGATATGGTCAGCCGCCCAGCTGGGCCAACTATTCTCCATATAATTAACACTTTAGCTCGCCCAGCCGGGGAAATTGGTCAATGTGAAACAATCAGAGCATGCACGAGCTCTGTTGGCTCAGGAAAAGGGGTCAACTTTACTCTCATATAAACGTTTACTGTAGTTGACTTGGCTTGGAGGATGACCCTTCTATCCTGGACAGGTTTTCTCTATATAAACAGGGGCTGAATTTGTTGTTGTTTCTTGATCTTGCTACAAAAGGTTTTTTCAACGGATATTCCGGTTATTCTCTCCCTTCGTATCCAAACAAAATCCAGTTCGATTTTGAGCTCACAACCACTTGTGAACGAGTACTTATTCTAAGGTTAGAGTGATTTTCGTGTGACCTTGAAATGAAAACGCGCGAACAGAACAGATAAACAAGAAACAAACGGAAATAGAGCGATTTGACTGGTTTATCGAACGAATACAAATTCGCGTGGCTTTTGGTTGGTTAAGCGAACGCTCGGGTGAAAAAACTCCATGCCCGAGAACTTTCTAGAAATCAATCGATACTTCGCTTTGACCTCATACTGCAACACGGTTGGCTAATCGAACAATGCCTTCTCCATACTATGGTTTTCTTTGGCGGAAAAACAAAGAGTCCATGTTTGATCTTTTTATCCATCGGCTGATATAACAAATAACGAACACTTACCGAAACTATTTTTCAAGGTCCTACGAAAATCGCTCTAAACGAATTGCAGTTTATATTTTCCAAGTTTGTCCAGTATTTTATATCCCGGCCATACCTTCAATCCTCAACTTCTTTTGTAGAAGGATAGTGTATTGTTTCTTGAGATATTCCATGTCTTCTGATTGTTTCTGTACATCTTTTAAGGTTTTTACCAGTTCGCTTTGATTTCTTAGCCAGAACTGCTGTAGTTCAGTAATTTCGTTTAAACGGGCCTCAATTTGTTTCTGCAAGGTATGAATTTGTAGCTCCAGTGGCCCGATTTCTTCTCCCTGATAAAGACGAGAAAAAAAAATCCATTAAACTTTGCAAAAAATAAAACAAATCTAAGTAGGTATATTGTCCAGCTGTAGCAGACAAATTAGCCACGTACCCCACTATTGTTCCTCATTTGGTCAATCCGTTTATTGTACTGGTCAATTGTGCTTTGTTTTCTTTCAATAATGGCGTTCCTCTTCACGATTTCCCCTTCTATCTTGGAAATGGTCGCATTCTTTTGATGAATCTCTTCATTTAAGTTATCCATTATATCCTGCAACTGGCGAACACGAGTTGTGGTGTTGGAGATGTCCAGAATGTCTCTGGAAATCTCGTTCTCGACCTCAGCCACTGAGCTTTCCTGTAAGACAAATGGGATAAAAATGAAATGTGGCAATTCTGAAGCCTATGAGAAGGCTCGTCCTATCACTCACTACAGAGCCTGTTCAATCGCTTGGTTAAGAGGCCTTCAGATTTAATGACGACACTGAGTACGATTTCGAGTTTTCAGGTCTACTTCGTGACTCTTTATTGATCATTCAGCACATCAATGGGTCTAATAGTGTCCTGAAGATTCCTTATCGACTCAGCAACACTAACAGCAAAGAAGTAAGAGTCGTGGGAACAAACGGAACTGATTTTAATCCGAACTTTGTTCTCCTACTCAGATCTAATTCTGAAAGTTGCTCATGGCTAGAAGAGAAAAAGGGGCAAACAGACGGTGTGGCTACAAGACTGCTATACATTGACTGAAGTATATAAAAATTAGCGATTGAGAAAAACAAACACGAAACGTTTACCCTGAGTGTTGAAGGACGGCAAGGTGGTCAGACGTTCCCTTAAGTCGACGTTTTTGATTAGAGACTTTTAGCTTTAGGTTTTTCATGGTTAATAGTGACCTTTAGCATCAGGTTTTTCATAGGAAACCGCAAACCACAGTTTGCAGTTGCACGTTGCCGAGATTTCAAATCTTAGCAAGGAGTTAAGTTGAGTTCATTTCACTTCATTTTTATTTAGCCAAAATATAATACATATAGGAATTGTAAGTTGGCAAGGGAGCCCAGAAGAAACCGAGAAGGCTTATGAAGCCTGGGCTCCCCAGTCAAAAAGAAGTATTAAAGTAAAATAAAATGAAATTCGCGGAGTGATACGTTAAAAATAGGAACTAAACAGAGACTTAGTTAAGTAATAAATTCAGTAAAAAGACAGAAAAAAAAATTTAACTCTGGATAGTACGGCAGGAACATAAAATCGATTTGAACTACCCGTTCATTGTTTAGTGCCGCCATGTTATTTTCATCAAGTCGAAGTGCACCACTTTTATCGCCCAAAAAACAGGAATAATTCATTGACAAAACATACAGGGTTAAGAGGCTTATTAACACATACCAATTCTGTAGCTCGTTTTCTCAGCCTGTCTGTCATTTTCTTGGTATACTGTGCAGCCTTGTCCAGAGTCAACTGACTTCTCATTTTTTCCATGATATTATCTTCAATTTTAATCTTCTCCAGAAATTCCCGCTCAGTCTGTTTTCTCAGGGCTGTGATCTCATTGTCCTTCAGCGTCACTTCCTGGTATGAGGCAATACAAATTTCAAAATAAGTCACGTGACTAACTGGTTGATAGGAAACTCTCAATTCCGGCTAAAGCCATTCATGCCGTTTTTAAAATTTTCGCAAAGCAGATTTCAAGCTCGAGTGGGACAGGGACTACCTGCAAAAGATAGAATCATCTCGACTTCTCGAAAACTCGGAGGAGTCGACCCAAATTTCTTGTACTCTCGAAAGGTTTGCCGGTTTCTTCTCGGCAACTTTTCGGCGAATGAAGACGGCTTCACGAAAAGTGCTGGTTGAAGTGGGAGGAGGGGGGAGGGTGGGTGTGAAACACGAAAAGAGGTTGAATCTTCTGTTCCTCCCCCGATGTTTCCAGCAAACCCCTTCCAATTCTGTGGTGAATTCCAGGATTGAAAATAATCTTATGCTACATGTAAGTTGAATTAAATTGCACATGACAGTGCCATAAAGCTCGAATGCAAATATCACATATCACTCTTACAGTTTCTGCTCTGTTTAGCTGCTGTTCTGTTTCATGCAATGTCCTTGAATACTTGCTGTACTCAGTCTTGAGCACTTCTTGCTTGTTTCTGCTGACAGCGATCAGTTTCTTCACCATTGAGATATCAGCCTCAATCTTGTTATGCATTAGCGTGATCTGTTCATTTTGTTCCTGTGCTTTGCTGATTGACTTTCGGTATCCTTCAATCTCTGTCTCTATGGCCTGGATTCTCTGCCTTTGTAGACTAAAAGTTAAAGATTTTAGAAATTTATTAACAGTCCGAGGTGTACGCTAAATGTACCCATATTCCAGAAAACATTGCGCTGAACAATTCTGCTTAAATTAAGTTCAATTCAAGTCTTTAAATTAACTGGCCGTGGAAACAAAAGCCTGAAATTTGTAAAACCTGTAAGACGTTCCGGCTGATTATAACATCACAGGCATGTCAGTTAAGGTTTATCTGAAGCAATTGACCTCACTTTGACTTCCCCATTTAAGGAACTGCACACACGAAAGTATAAACATAGTTCCCAATACTTTTATTTTTTATTTCCGCTAAACTGTCAAATGTGGTACTCACTGTTGTTTGCGCTAAACCAGCTGGTAGCTTAAATTAGAATCTCAGGAATATTCACGCCAGGACTTGTGATAACTGATGCCAGGGCCTATTCCTGCCCCTCCCAATTTCTATGGGGAAAGCTCGAGTAAAAAGGTTGTTTGAACCTGCTTAAAATTTGATCCCTTTCATTGGGAGTTTGTGTGTGAATGTTATTACAAACATAGACCTGATATGACTGATATGATGAGTGTTTACTGTAGAATGTGCCCTAAGGTAACGTAGTTGGAAAATCAGGGGATTTCTTGGAATTGAAAAAATGTGATGGGGGTACTGTTCTCTGTCTTTTCCATTTTTTGGTATATTTACTGCTGTACATCATTAAGTGATTGCCATCGCACTATAAATTATAAATGAATCTAGTCTCTCTGTGGACACTGTAAGTACTAAATAGGAGGTGCATGGCAATGCCTCACCTCAATGCTTCCTGCATAGCGGCAAATGCTTCATCACGTCTTCTCATCCCAATCAAGCTACTGTACCATTGCTGAGTCAACTGCTTCTTCTCCAGTTGAAGAGCCTAAACAGATTCATGAGAAGTAAGTCTTGAAGTCCTCAAGGTTGGCCACAACTTAGGAGATTTTTTTAAAAGTCAACAGGGGTAAAATCCTTCTGCTCTCTTCCAGTCTGAGGAATGATGAAGACTGGAAATTTTTGTCCACTGCATTTTACACATTTCATTCTCTGCTACGTGGGAGACCTCTGCTAGCAGGGAACACATTTCAAATTTTCAAAGTATTAACCCTTTAAGTCCCAATAGTGACCAACAACAATTTTCTCCCAACAATATCCATATGTTGGCAAGAGAAATAGTTATGACAGTTAATACAATGATCACTAAAGAGAAAATGCTTTGATCTGTTATCAAACTTTCTCAGCTAATTCTTTAAGGAAATGTACAAAGATTGGAATGGAGAATTTATATGTGGATATTAAGACTTAAAGGGTTATTGGTTCATTAAAATTGCTTAAGTGTTTTACCAAGTTTAAAACGAGACATGTTGGGTTTCTGATTGTACCTAACGGTTTTAATTTAAGACTTGATGAATAAAGGATTTTGAAGTTCATCAATCACTTTCCAACAACCTGCTGTAGATCGCTGTAGATAAATTTATTCTCTCAAAAATCGTTAGAGTGTTAAAATACTTTGGGCAGGAACTGGATCATAAATTTGCTGTTCATTTTGCAAAATAGTTGCTCCTTCAGGAAAAATAATTATTCATTAGTTTTGGTAGTGTACAACAAAGTTTAAGTATTTTTTCCTACATGTACCTCTATTTCTGTGGTTGCTTCTGAGAGAGCTTTTTGAGCAGCTTTAGTTTCCTCCAGCTGAGCAACAGCCTGAGTCTCGAACATATCAATCTCTTCTCTCAGTCGATCAACAGTTTGTGTCAGCCTGTCTACCAGAAGATCCTGTAAAATAATCGAACATGATAATTTTTAACCTGAGACGAAAATATTGTAAAGTTATAAATAAATACTGTAACATGAGGTATTTACTTTGTATTGTAAGTGACACAACTGCAGTAGCCCAGGATCAGAGGCTGTAATGGAATCATATTGAGTAGACAGCTCCTCTCTACTAACTATGATGGAATTTACAGATTTTTCTTTAGAAAAGATTTTGTGATAGTTAGATCAAACTTTTTTTGAGGGATAGGAGGTAGACTAAGAGAATTCAGTTTTTCACCATCACAGGGATGTAGCTTTAAAACCTGATCAGACTTTTCTATAATAGTCAAGTAGCAAGCTGGATTTTTTATTCAACTGAGCCGGCTTTTTTATTCAACTGCGCCTTTAAAATAACCCCTGATTTTGTTTTCCAGAGTAATTTTAGCCGGTGGCAATGTCTTCTTCAGACGGTTAAATTAGCCGCAAACCAGCTGTTTGGGACATCCCCGGGCCAATGCTTCAAGGGTACAAATTTAATATCTAAAATGCAAAACGTTGGGAAAGGTACGGTGCTAACCTTCAAAATGAATGTGTCAACTATAGCACAAAAACAAAACAACACAATGACACACCATTACAACAACTATGTAGACTTTTGTACAAATTTCTACTATTTTTCACCAACCTGTTTCTTTTTCTCCATTTCTGCTCTAGTCACTTCAGTGTCTGCTTTCTCTGCTGCCCTTCTCATAACAGCAATGTCTGCCCTAACATCCTCTTTAGCTTCCTCCATGTAATGCAATCTAGCTGCTAGGTTTTCCACTTCTGTTCTGAGCTCTTTAGCTGGAGAAAACACACAAGCAAAATGCTGGACAAAACTCACAAGAACCCCTGCATTATCTGTATCAATTTTAAGTCTAGTTTACCGATATACAGTGAAAGGTCTCAAGCATTCTGAGACTCACAGACAACAAGACCCTGCTCGAAAATCTGAGACCTTGCAGAACAATGTCAAAAAACTCAAAAGAGATAAACATAAAACTGACATTTTGAGAATAACCAAAAAAACTTTAGAGATTGAAAAATTTCTGAGATCCATAATTTCCCACATGGTAGGTACAATGATTATTAGCCACAAATGTCATTTAATTAACTGTGCATAGTAAACTTTACCTACAACAACAAGAAGAAATGTCTATAATAACATATACAAGGATACTTATTAACCCTGTAGATGTTAGCCTGGTCCAGGAGTTCAGGTGGGAGTGGCACAAAGTAAAAGGGCATGAAAAATTAAAGCAAGGGAGAGGGACAGAGGAGAGAGTTCAGTTCCCTCACCACTCTCACCAGTCCTGCACCTCTATATTTTCTTGCTTTCCTTACTTCATGCCACTCCCAACTGAAATAAATATAATGACAAGAGTACAAAATCAAATACGAGAAAGACCATGGATTTCAAGTAAGTTGTATCCGCAAAATGAGAGTGGCCTCCAAGAGAACTTTATCTGTAACTATTTTCGTGCATCCATGAGTACCTTGTTTTCGCTGATGTTTGAGATCGTCGGTAGTTTTTTCATGCAGTGCTCTTGTTTCTTCAAGAAGCTTTTCACTTTGCAACCTAAGATGATTTTCTGAATTAAAGTTATCATGTTCTTTCTCAAGAAGCATTTGCTGTCTTGCAAGCTCCTGTTGAACTCCATACAGCTGCACACCAAGCTCTTCCCGCTCACGCTTCTTGGTTTTGAGATCTTCAGTCTGCGTTGCAAGAAAAAACAATCAAAGCATTCTTAACTAGTAAAACTGTACTCTATATTCAAGTTCCATCATTTTGTAGGTATCAACAAAGTAACAAATTCTCATTTACATGTATATGGTAGCTAAGGCATGCTATAGTGTGATAGCTTGTAAGCTTTGGAATCGTTTCATTATGATCTTCAAATCTCTGAGCTGTGTGCAATGAATCTCCACCTCTTGTTTTTGTGAGTTTCCTTGCATCTGCACTTTTTAATTTTCTTCCCCAAAAATCATGAATTTTTAAGAAAGATCTGGGTGTCTAGGTGAGTCTGGCTTTAAACCCTTCTCCACCTTGTGTCAACTCTTTTGAGAGCAAGAGCCTCTCAGTCATAAATACACTGCAACATCCTGGCATCCTTTGCAGGTAACCTAATCTCTACTCACCAGTTCTCGGAGTTCTAAATTAACTTTTTCCTGTTGCTTGAGTAAATGTGCTTTGTATGCTGCTTGAAATCTGACCATGAGAGGCTGTAAGAAGGAGAAAAACACATACAAGTCAATAAGAATTCATCTAGCCTCAGGTTAAGTAATTCAGAAGGTGAAGATGTGATGAAATACCAGGATTTTCTTAATTTAAAAAAAAAACGGGAATTATCCAAAAAGACAATTTTCATTATAACTGTGAGCTTATTATATATTTTCAGTTTGGACAATTTAAACCAATTGATTTTTTATCTCTTTGCCTATTCAAATAATTAAGCCACAACTTGTACATGTACACTGTATTTAATAAACAGACAGATTCGGTGGGAGATGATGATTAGTTTAACAGTTATGCATAAGCTTACATACAGTAAGTGGCTTCACTTCAGTGCAACTGTGTTTCTTAGTAATTTGTAATTTTCTCATTTTTTGATCCTTTGAAACTCTAAAGCAAATGTTACGGATTTGAGAACTGTTTCACTGACATAAAATATACGTTTACTCACATGGTCTGGATCAAGAACCACCATATCATTTTCACCCTCGGAACCATATTCTTCTTCAGATAGGTCTTCATCGTCTCCGCCATCAATTTCAGCTCCGATCTCATCCTCTCTTGTATCATCGCCACTAATTACTTCAGAGAGCAGCGTCTGCGCCCCTGGTACTCCTCTAGGATCAAACGTTGGAATCTCTTGGGTTAAAGTTGCAGTGGGAACAAGGCCTTCACTTTCTGCACCGGTCACAACGGTATCCACATCACTCGGATCACTCAAACGAAATTCTTTCAGAGCTTTAACAGTCAGCTTGCTAACTGCATCTTGAATGGACTTTCTAGATTCGGCTGAGCCTTTCGATCTTCCCGATTGCGGTCTCTCTGTGCCTTCTTTTCCTTCTGTATCGCTCAGCCCGTTTTCTTCAGGTCTGTCCGCCATATTTCTACTCTCAAAAACAAGATTGAACTATGTTTCCTTGGCAACCTAAGAAAAACGAGCCCGCAATCAAAACGGAATACTTTGACGTCACATCCGATATTCCTTTTATGTAAAGATGTAAATCTGCTACTGTGGAATGATGTCAGGAAACAAGAGGAAGAAAATGTAGCCTATGTATTTTTCGATTTCCAGCTAATCTTTTATCCGGCCCCTTTCAGAATGGGTAATCGGTTCAGCAGACAGAATGAGGGAGTCGAGGATCTCGACTTTAGTTCAAATCCCTACCGATATCCTCCTCCTTCAGGTAAGAGAACGCCATTTTCTCGCATGATATGGGAACGCCATTTTTGGATGATTTGTATAAAGCGTTTATTGACATTAGAAAATGATCCTAACCACAACATTTTATATACAGGAAAGAACTACTTTGCTGATTATTTTCTTATGGGTGGATCTAAGTTCGACAGCCCACAACCTGAAGCATACCTTTTCGGAGAAAACAATGATTTGAACCTTTTAAACCCGAAACCAGTTTCGGTAAGAGCTTGTAATTGTTGTTAAGGGTATTATAGTTGGCAAAAGTTTACTACCTTATGCTGATACAAAATTTACATTAAGTTCTTTTAAACACAATCCCTGTACTTCAGAGACTCTTACCTAATATCTACTGAACTTAATGAATCATAAAGTTTCAAATACGTAATGTGAGTAGTAACGTGCATGATTAAAGTCTGGGAAGCGTCTTAAGCTTACATATTTTTTGAGTTGATCATTATTTGAGCTTAACTTTTATCAGAATCTTCATGCATTCAGAATGATCTGGTTATAAAATCAGTCTCAGGTATAAAGAGTGAAACTATAATTTCCTCGTTGTTATTGTTTGTTATGGAATACAAAGTGTTTGCATTCTTACTTTGTTTATTCTACATGTCACGCAAATGATGATGATGGTCATAAAGAAATTATGATCATATGAATTTCATATATTATGATGATCATAATGTTGTTGTTAGTTCTTTTGCTTTCTGTAGTTTTATAAGTGATGGAGGTATTTTAGCATAATAGGAAACCATGGTTATGACTTCATAATTATTAGACTGTTTCTAGATTATTCAGTAACACTCTGCAGAAGTTTCTGTTTATAGCTCCAACTCTATTGCAGGTGTAGGCCTTACTTTGTACTGGCCATTACATATATTAACATTATGCATATTAGTCATTTTAGAAGGTCATGTAAATTTGCGATTTAAAGTCATGTTTCCTAACAGTCATCTTGCCCAAAGTTTAAAACATGTATATTGCCCGAAACCAGGGTCAAGTTGCCCAAATGATGAGTTACATTGTCCAAAATTTTATTGTGCTCTATGATATCCTTTTACATATTTTATCACGCTTGTCTTGTCTCATGGAGGCTTAGCGACATAGATCTATATATTACTCATTTCTGGCACTTTTTTCACCTTATCGAGGTTAAAGAACAAGATTAATTTTACCTGGTTATACATTTATGCCGCTTGTTTCATTTCATCATGGCTTAAAGAGCGAGATACATTACACTCAATGGTTTATTCTACTTTATTTTGCTACACTTTATTTTAAACTATACACCTGAAAAATTTTCAGCTGATATAACTCTGGTTTTGGGCAACATAATTTTAGGTGACTTCACTAGTTACCAATAATTATTGAGCATAAGATAATATGCGAATTAATTATGGTGGGTCCTTCCTCTTTTGCAGTTTCCATATCCACAGCCTCCTGGTAATGAGCCAACAAAGACCCTAAGAAGTCTTGTGAACTTAAGAAAAGATTCACTTAAACTGGTTAAGTAAGTACCCCAAAGATCAAGTGCATGTTAGTGATAGTCATGCAAGTCCTTCTGTGGTTGTCAAAAACAGGTTACCTTCTAACTGAGTTGACTTGGAGAATGATGTTGCCCTGAATATTGAAAAAAATTCAAAACCAGGTTTCCAATCCAATGCTTACCTTGCTAAGTCCACAGTACTTTGATGAAACATTAGTGCCTTGTAATGTCGACTTTTGAATTCTTGGACAATTGTAGGGCTTCATGAAAGAAAAAAGGATCCTAGGGTTTGTTGATACATGTACATGTACCTGCTAGGTTTCCTTTCTTATTCCTTTAGTTCTATTGTAAGGCAAGGGAATTTTAAATTTATCTTCTAAGACAAGATCAAGAGTCAGTCACCACCTTTTTTCGCCTGATCCTTTGCATCAGGTACATTGAACTCAAGAGGTGTACTTCATTTTGAAAAGTTTGCATGTGTTAATTTACCATAGGGAACAGATAAATTGATGTAAATAATATTGTTTTAGAGTTTGAAAACAAAATAAGTCTTGCATCAATATCGTTAAGTGGCCTGCGATGTATTTAAAGTTTATTTGCTGTTATTAAGGTTTCACATTCTCCTTTCCTTGCATGGGAGACTGATAATAGAGTCTTTTTTTATCTTCTCTTTACAGAAACATAGATGAAGAGAGCTATTCTGTAGAATTTGTTTTTGATGCAGATGTTAGTTGCTCTGTAACAGTTCATTACAGGGCAACAGAAGACTTTTCCACTGGTCTAGCAATGTAAGTTTTGTTACTACAGTAGGGAATCAGGGTTGTCATTAAGAGCCGGGGGCCTGGGATTTTCCCCGGTTACTAAGAGAGTGGCCCCCGGCTACTTTTTTTGGAAAATCGAACAAAAATAGAACCAAAAGAAATCCCTAGCCGTTTGATTCCCCGCCTACTTGTTGTATTTACCCGGCAACTTGAAATCTTAGTGACAACCCTAGGGAATGGGCTGTAATTTGAAAGAGAAGATTTTAGCAACTCATTATAAATGTATAGTTACAAACACTTTTACCTAAGCAGTTGTATATCTAAAACTAATGACAGAAGTAAGGTTCGACACACAGAAAATCAAATTTGGTTTATTTCTCTTTTGCAAAACTAGACTTTTAAACATCCAAGCAATAGTAGCAATTGATAATGCAGTCAAACCTCTGGTAAGGGACTACAAAATATGAAGACTTACATGTACAGCTGCAGTAAAAAATTCAGGTTAAAATTTTTTAACCTCGGTTGATTCTCCATTTCCCTTGTCTCCTAGCTCTGATTCGTGAATAATTAGGGCTAGGAGACAAAAGAAATTGAGAATCAACCTAGGTTAAAAATATTTAACCTACGTACAGTTGTAAGTACCAGACAGAACTGAAAGCGAACACAGAGATCAGGCCTTTCGTCAGGTGGTCCCTTACAAGTTTTTGAGAACACTGGAAAATAATTAAATCATCAGCCCTGAAAAGTGGTTGCGGCACTTACACGAGGTGGTTGCTTACAAAAGGGTTCCAACTGCAAGGCTTTGTTTGGGAAAAGTTTAGTGTTTTGAATAGGTGGTCGCTAACCGGAGACATTTGCACTTGGAACTTTGATTGTATTACAAATCTGTTTTCCTTTTTAGATACACCTCTCAAGAACCCTTCACATCTTCAGCCAAGACACATTTTTCAAAAGGGTCAGGACAAGTTTATAGCAGTTCATCTAAACACAGAATTGGACCCAGTTTATTTTCTGAAGAGGAGGTAAGGATGAAGTTTGATTTGGAGCTATTGCTGCATTTTTTTATGTCCAGTGCATGGTATATAATTTGCCAAATATCTTGTTTGTTCTTTGCATAAAGTAATTAGCAGTTCATTAGTGACTACTTGCCATGCAAAATCCTTTGCTCATTACAAACACTTATAGCTTGACAGTCTTGGGTGTCAGTGATTCCGTATTAGAAAGTACATATGTAAATTTTGATTGGTTCTCCAAAAACCCAAGCCTTGGAACAGAGTTATACTCCTCAGGGTTGCCTGTATGTTTCTGTTGTAAAAACAAAGTTCTTGTACAGAGTACGAGAACAACAAACGCTTTTAACTACATGTATATGCTGTAAGTTTTTCATAGTGAGTAAGGATGATTGTTTCATTTTTTTGCATTTTCAGTTGAATTATTGTCCCCTAAGCAATGCCTTTATCCCTGTTGTGATCCAGATTGATGTGGATGAAGAAGGTAGGTCACTTAGGAGCCATAATGCGAATCGATAACCTAATCATAAAAAATCCTTTCTCAAAATTCTTATATTGTAAGTGATAGACAAACTATTTTTGTGTCAGATGACTATTCTAGCTGTACCAATATCAGCCATGTTTTAAAACAGAAAACTGGCTTGCCTTGCCTTGGGATTCCAAGTTGTTCTGTTCATTGAAATTATTTGTTTCTGTCCTTATTTGTGAGCCGTGATAACAACTTGGTTAATAGTTGGTACAATGTACATGGAAAGTGTAAATTCTGTACATGTATGTATGATTTGTATCCATGAGCTTGTATTTTAACAACTACATCACTAAATGTGCTTTTCTTGCTCAGTTGAATTCTTTCTTCCCTCCCCCTCCCCCCACTTCTTTCCCTATTTTTACACTGCTCTACTCTAACAATGATTTTCAAAGTGCTATGTTTCAGTCAAATAATCCATCCCATTTCTACTCAACAGAATACTTTGGGCATTGTAACATCACAATGGCAACATTTGAAAAAATGTCTGATGGATCGTACATAATAAAACCCATCAAACAGAAGCAAATGGTATGCTGCAAACTTCTTGTGAACTTTAACTCTACAGAGAAACTCCTGCTTACATTGTATGGCAAACATGGTCTTTTGCATAAGTTGCTTGGGTTTGAAAGAGCTGCAGAGCTCAGTGTATTAGGCAGATTTAACAACAGAACGGGAACATCAATTGACAACTGTGCACGCAAATTAAACAACTGGCTTGACCAATGGCAGAGCAGCAAATTGGACACCGGAAGTAGTGTTTTGTCCTTTCTACACGCTTTCCCGTCGTCAACTGATGTTCCCATCCTGTTGCTAAATCAGCCTATTGCAGTAAAAGGAAGTAACAGTTCACTGTATTTTACTTCTGGAGTTGTTTTGATCACCTTTTGGTTTTCTCTTATTTGATGTGATAAAAAGTGAACGTGAGTTACAAAATGATTTCTCACACCTTAGGTGCTTTGGAAAGGAGTGAAAAGGTTGAATACATGACTGTACCTTCAGGAATACTGTGTTTACTTTGTAATCAGCAGTCTGTGGAGGAACTGATCAAGAATATTTTAATTTTTATTTGTTTTTTACTGTCGTACTTCAGGTTGATGGACTGTGTTACCTTCTTCAAGAAATCTATGGAATAGAAAATAAAATCAATCAAAAAAGTGGAAAGGTTTGTACTTTTTATACATTTTGTATTATGATGCTATTATGTTTCCACATGGTCTGGAAATTTGGAGATAAACAAACGTCCTTGAAAAATGGACTACAACTTTCAATTTACATGTGGAACAAGACACATTTTGATTCATCTATGATCATGTTCAATTGCAAGTAATACAGTATGTGATTTGTATTAACAATATACATCATTATGATGATGCATGACACAAAAACTCGTGATTACAATTTAAACGTAACATTATTAATGAGCTTTAGATAACGAGCATTATGCATGCAAGGGAAAGGTACAAAGAAACTAAATAAATACAAATTTTAAAATCTGTTTAAATGTATATTACACAGCAGTAAAAAAATATCTACATATATTCATAAAAAATAATAAAAGTAATAAGAATAAAAATAGCAAAAATAAAGTTAAAACGAAAGAGCAAGCTCAGTATGTTTGAGTTGCTTGTTCAGTGTTTGATTCTCCCACATGATGTGCACAGCTTCTTTAATTTTAGCATAATCTTATTATGCTTTCAACTGTGTTCTTCTAATGAAGCTGGCTTGTGTTGCAAGCACAGTTAATAGAACTGGTAATTACAAGTGTTATTGCAGGACTTTATCTCTGTAGAATCAAAGATGTTAACAATAAAATTAACTCTGACTCCAAACAGGATGAAGAAAATGACCTTGAAGAGACTGGCTCAGAATGTGTCATCTGCATGAGCGACATGAGAGACACTCTTATTTTGCCATGTAGACATCTATGCCTTTGTAGAGACTGCGGTGGGTTGGAGAATTTTTGTGTATAACGAACTGTACTAGGCCTTTCAGTTTAACACGACTGATGGAAATGTCATAGGACTTAGCTGAAGCTAACTCAATATAAGACACCAAGTTAACCATGATACTTGCTACCTTGTTATTACTTGAATTAAGTCCATTAGCAGACTTCTCAGTTATCGAACTATTTATCAAAATATTCTGGAGAGGTCACATCCACTATCACAACAGTTAAATGAACCCTTAAGCTTCCAAAATGGAAGAGAGATTTGATTGTCTTTTTCATTTTTTTTTTCTACAGCTGAATCCCTTAGGTACCAAGCAAGTAACTGCCCAATATGTAGATCACGTAAGTACAAAAATACGCTTAAGCCTCTACATTGTGGCTCTTAAAAGAAGATTCTCTTAAAGGATGTATTAAGATGCAAGGGGTTTCACTAACATTTACACTTATTTATGGTTGGTAGTTGATGCTAGGCAGCCAGGTATATTGGATGGGCCAAATTCTCTTCCTAAGCAGGGGATCTGGTCAGCAATCTTGCCTGGAGAAATTTGGAATCCAATTCAGGAAATAAGTTTCTCTCATGGAGACACATTTTCCTGCATTCTGGGGCAAAATTGGGGGCTTTTCTGCATTATTCAACATTATTAAGAAATACATTTTCAACGTATCATTATCATTATTTTATATGTTTTTTTATTTTTTATTTTTTTGAGATCATGGGGAATTCTTCCTGCCCGAGTAAAGGTTATTGAACAGTCTTCATGCCAGTAGTTCTACCTGCTACCCTCTGTATTCCAATCACTCGTACTCTAGATAATGCTCACCATTTGTGAGATGATGGATACTGTATATGAAAATCCATTCGAGCTACATGACGAAGAAGTAAATTTAAAGAAGTTCAACGCAGTTCTAGAAGGTTTCTATGGCAGTTGTGTAAAGAAAGCCTGATAAATTTCAGGCTACTACAGGTTTCGAACCATTGACCTCTGGAATAGCATTTGAAGTACTCTTGCCAATTGTGTTAAAAAGCAAGCTGGGAAGTTTGCTGGCTAGTTTAGTTAGTTCATCGTGAACCCTTGAAATTTGCAAAGTTGAAGTAATGAATATGATATGATAGTCATACATAAGAAATGCATGGTGAAGAATTAAATGTTAAGATCAAAGCCGGACTATAGATGTTGCTGTCAGAGTTCCTGTCATGTTATAAACTTAACTACTTTAAACGCATCATTGCTCTTTGTTGTTGTCGTTTTTAAATATAAGTATACGTCTTTTCTGTCTCCCTTAGCTTTCCATGCTTTGCTTCAGATCTGTGCTTACAGTAAACAAGACAGTAAGGAAGGCAGTGCTAATTCTCAGGTATGATATTAAGTTAATCATGCCCTTTCAAACACTATTTTATGAGGCGCGATGCCATGTTACGCTGCCACAAATCCTGTGAAAGCTAAATTCCCCATGAAACCAAATGATTAAACCCTTTGGAATTCAGGCCAATCCTACTTTTACTGTACTGTGCTTGTGGGCTTTGTACTATTGTCTTATTTCTTGTTGCAGGGAAACACCCATGGCGAAGACACGTGGCCTGGCTATGAACAGATTCCATTAGTGGAAGCATTGAATGGAACCATCAAACCAGATAACATACCTGAAGGTATTAAGACAAACCCCCCAACAACTCACCTTTTGTGAAGACTATTTGAATCCCTATTTGTTAGTTGTACCATCGCGATTATGATGCCCTTTGATTTCGATAAAGTTTTCAACAATTAGCCAGTCAGCCGTTTCCCTTTTAAATGGTAACTTCAAACTAACTTGTTTTGTTTCTCCGTTCCTTTTATTTACAACTTTTCTGCCTCTCATTCTTTTTTATTGAAAGAACGTTTTAATAATTGCGTGTTAAGAAATTCTCCTGCGCTATCAACTAATATATCTAATTTTGTTGGCTTTTTGTAGAAGCCATTGCCCGCATGCGTCGAAGGTCTGCATCGAGTATCCGCTCTTCAGGAAGAAGAAGAGTTGAGAGTGCGCGCACTCAGCGGTATGTTGAACGATCCTTCTCTGCATGCTCTGGAATGTCCCGACCCAGAACGGCCCCTAACCGATCTAGACTTGAGCGTGCGCAGTCCAGTCCTGGGAGTGCTCGGACAGTTGAACGCCGAGAGACCCCGGGAGGCCCTCGAGACCAGGCCTCCGGAAATGTACAAGAACAGGATCACAGAATTGAACGAGCATCTGAGGAGGACACAACAGACCGCACACCTCGCAGAGGTGCAAATATTGAGGAATTAAAGAACGGGGATGAAGTGGAAGAGCTTACATTGGTAAAAGATGGGGAACAAGGTACGTGTTATAAAACTGCCGTTGTGGGCGCCGGCTCGTTTCTTATTAGGGACGGTACTGACTTCAGTAACCTACGCGACAGACGCGTACCGCTGTAAGGAGTAAGGTGTACGAACAAGAGGACACGTATACAGGCTGATTTTACCTTCAGGGCGGAAAAACGTTCTGCGCAAGCTTCTGCGCATCCCTTATCGCAGGCTCAAGGCGGGCTTTTCTGTGTGTTGACTGTGTTTGTTTTTTGCTGGAGTTCTGAGTGAAATGCACGAGGTGCGAACGTTTGCTCCCTGTAAAGCATTTTTATTTGACACGTTTGCTTTTTTTTTTCGTCGCTTGAAAATTACTTTGGATTCAGAACAACCAATGTTAAAGGAAAAACGGATCATTCCGTCAGTCTGAGGTGGAATAAAAGGTTTTGAACATTTCTTAAGAGGCGAGTATTTTTCTGATTGTGCATCCGATTAATTTATGAGTTGATTTCGCCGGGTTGAATTAAAACCCGCTTGTATTCTGTTATTAGTAGTTACGGTTACTGTTTTTACATGCCCAGATTTATTACCTTTGCAGAACCAGCTTAATCTTTGTCTTCAGTCAAAGAAACATATTGCTGTTATAACGCATCAGAGTGAACAAACTTTTGCGCTTATTAAACTTTCTCGGAAATAGAAGGCCAGCAAGCTTACTCAAGATCATTTTTCTGTTGCTCAAGCAATAATAGTCAGAGTTTTTTTCATTTTTCATTACATAGTTTTGTTTTCCAGTGCACTGTGAAAGTTTCTGTTCTTTATAAAAATAACTTTCTGTACGCAAATTGTCCTTTTCACTCGCTGTGAAGTAGAGAACGACAACTACCGGCAGTGACTTCAAAACAATTGACTCTTTTCCCGTAAACAATTGCTGCAGCTTGATTTGACTGGGGCGAGCAAAACAAACCCTTATGTGCAATTTTCTGTGTTTTCTAACGATCGGCTGAGTTTAATTTGCTTAAACGAAGACCCTCGCATGGACCAGTTAAGCTTATTGAAAATAGGTAAATGGTGAATCATGGCTTGGCTGCCAAGTTGCAACTGATCTTTTGCTTTTAAGATCTTTTGATAGGTAGGTTGTTTTCGCACAGAAAATTCATCTCTTCATTGTCAGCAAGAAGTTTTTGAAATAATGTAACTTTAACTTTGTTTGAAGGAAATCCTTACGCGTAGGTTTTTGTCAGATGTTATGCGTGTTCAACTTGACACCACAAAGCAAAATTTATATATGTGCGCGAAACGAGCAAGTTTAAAAAACTATAGTTGCTTTTGGGAAACCGATTTTTGGGAAGATTTTACTAGATAAAGATTGACCTTTTTTCTGCCCACATATCAACGCAATAACTTCTACATTGAGGATTTTGTTTATATTTTAGTGATCTGCGAAACTACGAGTGTCCGATCGAGCGAGGGTTTTAAAATATCAGCTCGAGTGCGAAAAAGTTCAGTGACCTCAAACACATTGTGGGCAAGCGTTAATTTTTTTGGGCAAATCACTGTCCAAAGATATGTTGTTTTTGTGTCCACAGTGGAGCTCCGGACCTTATATATCCAGGAACTTCCTTATATGAACACATTTTGTGAATGCATCTCGAAAAAAATCGGACCTACGCATGCACAGTCCAGTACAACGCAAGGAAATTAATGTCATTAAAGTCCGTTTTGCTATGAGGTATTCTTCGAAAAAATTAAGTAACGACAAGGTTATAACCACAGCTTGCAACTTTTGAAGACAAATTGCCTGTTCTTTCCAGATTATGAGTGGAAACATTTTGTTTTTCGGCAATAAAATATTTGAAATCCCGCCATTTTTTCAAACCCGGCCAGGGGATCTGGGCAAAAAAGTTTACGCATGCTCATTACGTTTTTCCGCCCTGAAGATTTTACCAGGCTGTTGAATGTGTGTTGCGTTCAGTAATATATGTGGATAGGTTAAGAATGTAGATCCAACAGTGCGCAAAAGGGCAATTTGATCTTCGTTACCGAATTCATTTTACCAAACTACCTCCCTATTTGCGTTTATAATTCATACACCAACTGTAGTAGAAAGAGGTTATGTTTGTCTTACTGGTAAAACTAAGCTTTAGGGTCGTGTAGCCGGCTTCTAATTCCACGCCCAAAATTGCAAAGCGCGCAATGACGAAACTCCTGCTGTCCAAGTGCTCAAGCGTATTGTTTCTTTCACAGTTTCATCTCCAGTACTTTTACCTGAACAAGAGCAAGACGAAGATCCTTCAGACCTTCAGGTGCATGTGGATGTCTCATTACCCGGTACACCGCTAAGCAGTGATGTCAGTGGGCGCAGCAGTCGCAGCGCCGTAAGTGTTACAGCAACCACGCCTACCTATATCCGGCTAGAAGAGGGAACAGGACAGACTACTGTAACCACAATACCTACTTAAATACATCGAACAAGGACCTTTTTTTCGAAAGCCCCGACAGCTCTTCTCGCTCATAGAGTTAGTATGTTGGTCAACAATAATAGGCAAAAATCTATGAAACGGAGTTGTTCTATAACTGGCGATTCCGAATTTTTTCTCCTGACCAAAAGGTTGTCAGGTCTTGGTGAAATGGGGCTTCTGGTGTTGCCTTGCGAGGCTTATAGATATACGTTATTGACCAAGTGGAGGTCAAGATGGGTAAATATTGACCACGTTCTTTTTTGCGTTTTTATTGATCGAGACGACGTTGGGGTCAATAAAAAAAGCAAAAAGAACGAGGCCAATATTCACCCATTTTGACCGAACAGGCTTGGTCAATAACGGATTTATTATATGGCCGAATAGAGAACATTTTCTCTCGGGTCTATCACGGAGAGGGCAAAATGGGTCCATCTTGCACGTTTGGGTAGCCAATCAGAACTCAGGAGTGACTTCATCTTGCCTGCTCGCGGATTCAGCCATATAGTAAAATGCTATATTTTTTAGTTGGCGTCATAGTGCTGCTGGTATAATCTTCTCATCATGAAAAGCGAATTTCCATCTTGTAGACGTCTTGCGTTGTCTTAGGTTGTTTCCATGGTGGAATCTGATGCGAGTACGTTGTTAGAACATCTTCGTCCTTAGGGTCTGTCTTCCTTTCCTCTGGAACGAGAGAAGACTGAGAATGAAGAAAAATATCCTAGGAGCGAGGTTGTGGTTGAATGAGAAGTTTAAAGATGGAGTACGGTTTACGTTTTTGTAGAGTGGTGAGAAGTTTAACAGATGTTACCGGTATGCAAGACGTAATTAGTTAAATGGTCGCACGTAGGGATTTTGTCCGTAGATAATGTGTGATCTTACATTGACGGTCAAAGGCCGTCTAATTAACCAACTATAATTTCTGCTTTACCGCCAGCCTGTTGTATTGCAGTTGATCATGTAATCTTTCGATTGCACAATCCCCTGGGTACTCTGCAGTTGGCACGCGGCTTAAACGGCGTAGGGATAGGTCTTGCACCTCTAATGCTCACTGTTCACAGTCCCCTATTTTTCGGTGAGATGGCCGAGACCGAGCACTTACCTTTATGGGCAGCCATCGTAGTTTCAAATGTACCGAGTCTAGTCCGCCCGTATGAGTATCAAATATACTAAGCCGGTGAGGGGACGGTTTTGGAGGCGAGAGAAATTCTCGCCTTGCTCTTCCCCACCGCTATAAGCGCCGGCACCCGCTTCCTCGGTACATTTGAAACCAAAATGGCCGCCCGTAACGGCAAGTTCTCGATCTTTACGATCTTAGTAAAGAAAAAGGGTACTGTGAACAGTCCAGAAACTCGCCAGGGAGGAAGTAGATGGGGGCTTCCTTTTTGGGCCGCATTCCTCAGGTCAAAAGTTCGAGTCACTGTTTTATCGTGTATAATCAGTTTTCCTCGCGACCTATAGAAGAAACATTTCATGTACGCTGGAGTGATTGGGTCTAGAAGAAATTTTTGGTTCTGTATTGTTTTGTCTCTTTGTTTATTGGTTGGTTTTAGCCGTAGCTCGGTGACCTGTGGAATGTGACTTATAAACAAATATACCTCTGACACATCCAAAGTCACAAAAGGGCGTGTTTCCCACGGTGCCCATAATTATTATTAAGTATTGAACAATTTCTTCCATGGCAAATAAATGTAATAAAAATAATAATGATAATAATAGGCCTCAAACTGCGCTCTTTTATATCCCCGCTGAAAATGTAGGTAAATTAGGAATATTATCTCTATTAGTGGTATTTACAATGATAATATTTACAATAATCGTGCAGAAAATGGCGAAGATCTTAGTTTTACTTGAAGTTGGTCGCAGTGTACTTTATTATAGGAAATTAACGCGATTTTCACAAATTCACGTTTAATTGAAACGTTTATTTGCGCGCCGTTAATTAAGTGGAGCGCTAATTTCCGCGACCTTAATTTCCAGGGTGGAGATCGGCCAGTAACAATGAAACTGTGTAGAACGCTCGAAGTGGCCCGATTTCTTTGCTTGACCCCCTTCGTACGTGAAGGGAAAGTTTCCATTTCATAAAACGTTTAACCAATTGTTTCTGTTGGCTCCGGCGACAGGTTTTGTTTCTTTGTGAGCATGGCTATAATTTCCGTCATTTTAAATTGTTTGTTTTTCCAATACCTTTATTTCATGGAGCGTTATTCATTTCCTGTGATAAGGTAAATATTATTTGCTGCTTCTAGTCGGTACAGTTTGCGACGTGAAGGCTGCATTACTGAATCTGTATCATAGCTATTTTTGTATATCATTTAACTCATTGTTATTTTAAATTCAAAGTTGTACAGCACCAAGAATGTTTAGCACAGGTATTAAAACTACAATGTAACAAAAGTAGGTATCACAAGATGATATGATATACAGTGGAACCCCGTTAATACGGTGACCAATGGGCCAAAAACATTTGGCCGTATTAACGGGTGACCACGTTAACGAAGGTTCTTTTTTTTTTTGCAAGAAAATGTATGGCCATTTTGCCGGACGGCCAAAAAAAAAGGGGCCGTAATAACGAGGTGGCCGTAAGGCGGGGTTCCACTGTACTTCACTCCGCTCACATCTCACTGAATTCAAACTCGAAGGAAGGGTCTTCATTCCCGCGGGTTCTTGGTGGGGATGTGCCGCCCGGTTCTCCATATCCTGACCCTTTTTTAGACTAAAAATCATTTTCCACACCCGTTTTCAAACCTGGTCTCTAAACTTCACACCCGTTTTCAGACCTGGAGGTGGTCACAAAACGCAACATTACATCGTTACATAAAACAGAAATTATGTCATCATAGCTGATATTAAAACCGCAACAAAAAGATTTCTAAGTCCATTTCGAACTTGCCTATTACACTTTCTTTGATATTCACCTGGAATTGAAACGACGAACAAATTGATACACAAACGTAGTTCCTTCGTAAGCCATAGCCCAATGCAGATCAAAATTGGTCAAATCTATACCCGTTGGCGCAAAAACCTTACCCTTTGGGGCGGTGCATGCCCATATGGCTTATATAAGGGGTTAACCCCCGGTGCTTTCATTTCATTGCGTTGGCCCTTCTACTCCGTATAGAGTCATCTCTCTCTAAGACAGACACCTTTGAGACCGGCATCAAGTGTCCGTCTTAGAGAGGTGTCCATCTCATACATAATGAGATTCCTGCGCATTTTGTTCACGAGATAAAGACAAAATGCTATGACGTCATCGGCGTTAATGTATTCCTCCACAAGTTGATGAGATTTCGCCGCAAAAAAGGAGTAACGGTCCCTACTTTAATGCACCTTACCATTGTTTTGAAAAGGTTACTATTTTCAATAAATGGAAGGACAGGTCACTGACGTGGAACAGGAGGTCATTATTACAAATAATAACCTACTGCTCCACTTCAGTGGCCACAATAATGACCTGCTTGTTCTAAAACAATGGAAAGGTGCATTAAATCGGTTAATGCTCTCGCCCCTCGGCCTTCTTAAAAATAATGACCTCGCGCTGCGCGCTCGGTCATTGTTTATAAGAAGGCCTCGGAGCTCAGGCATTACCCTATAGGTGGTTTTCACGTTACGTCATCGCCGCCATACTGGTGGACGGTAAACAAAAGATCGCTCATTAGCTCCCTTTGTTTGTCCACCAGCATTTGTTCATTTCACCATTGTTATTTGTGTCTCCCGAGATTGCATGAAAACCACCTATAGAGTGTTTTCACTCACGTGGCTAGCATCTATGCAAATTTACTGAAACAAAAGAAAGCGTTTGCATAAGAAAAGAGTTCAATTCCCAGAGGATTGGTTTGGGACACCAACATGGCCGCCGTTTCATTGTTTTGGGACACCAATATGGCCGCCGTGACGTCATGCAAAAACACTCTATATATAGTACCCTCCTGGGCCAAGATTAAAGGTGGGATTTATGAAAAAACCTAGACTAGCCCACAGGCAAGATGGGAAGACCTCTGTTAAAAAACAAAACGTGTTTTGAACGGAACGAAGAGAATGTGTGTTGTTAGCTAATAGATATCTCTGTTGAATCAACGCGTTCACTTTTCAGGCTTGTCATATTAATAATAAAAATTACAAAAAACGCTGGGTACAGTTTTGTCGTTGAGATGCATTTATAAAGAATTTGCATAATCCTGAAAAAGAGAAATCAGGCTTAACAATTTTTTTTGTGTAAAGCAAACATTTCCTTTTACGGGAGCAAGATTTCGCGACTTTGCCAGTTTTTCCTTTGCGTTTTCTTTTTTCTTCAAATTTAATAACCGGTTTCTCCACCTTGCAAATAGTTCACTGGCCCAAGATATTTTCAAAGAATTTATTTGAAATGTTAATTAACCTTACAAGTCCCAAATGCCGTGGACCCAGTTCCTGAAAGGCCGATTAGCGTTAGAGTAACATTTTGTGTTATCGTTACTGTATCTCAGGCTAATTTTGTTAGCTTGAGTTACATGTTCTTAGACAAGAAAACTGTGCTTAAAATTTGGCTTAATCTTGGGTTAAACTTAATCATCTTTCGAGGAACCGGGCCCAGAGGTGTATGTGGTAAACAACCATTGTTCTTGCTACATAGGCACGTGCGGTAAGAAAATCCAATCAGAAATTATTATTCAAATTAGAGCGTTGTTCCGCGCCAAAAATTGATAGTTTCGGTGGAGAAAGCTTACGAAAGTTACTCGCGAAAGAAAAAGAAGACGCTCTCACATAAACTGACAATCCGTCTTTCTCAGCTTTACTTCAAGTAAGCTTACTGTGGAAACATTCTGGAATGTTAAAACCAGCGCCTGAGGTAAATTACTTGTTAAAGTTATCGTCAATTCGGTTGAAATTTGTATTCCGTCAAGTCCATAGTCAAATTAAGTTATTTCTTCGTCGAAAGCTCTTGTTTTGTAGTTAATTATTTGTTCTCAGAGGAGAAATAGCGAGTAGAAATATAAGTAAATGCTCAAGCAAAACAAGCGAGGAAAATTTGTCCATGATTTTGAAAGCCCTTGGTAGTACAAGGTCGTACACGTGGCTGTTACTAAGATTCATGCAAAACCAAGAGCTTTATCCTCTTTTGGCAAAACTCGGTGGAGACCTCAATGTCCAGATAAAGGGACCCGGCAAATTACGTCTTTCTTTTTTTCCAAATTTAATATTACCAAGACCGGAATTTGCAGAAACGACAAATTTGATTAATTTTTTTTCTCTGTGTACAACAGCGAGATTTTGACGGGAGTTAATATCGCAAAATGAGGCCACCACACCTTTAAATAAATATGGACCAAACCCATGGCGAAAAGGCTCGAAGTAAATTGCAAAAGATTTTTCGTGAATTTCTATTTATTCAGAAAGCAGTTTATAATTAACACATTAAAGAAAAAGTACCATATACTTAAACTGAAGTGTCGAAGATAGGAGTTATTTACATTCTAACCGGGTCATAAAAAGCAAACCTCAGGCTTTCGCTGAATGAAGAACAAGAAGAATGGACGAAATAAGAGATACAGCTCTTTCGAGAAACGTTGTCGGAAAAAAATCGCTATTTCAAGCGACAAAACCGAAAAGTGATATGGGATATGATCAATATACACTGTTCCTGAAATTGCAGCGGTCGAATTTTCTTTTGTTGCTTTCCTTTAGCACTCGCAAACACACATCCATGGCCTTTAGTGTCATTCTTTTAAATTTCTTTGAAGAACTATCAACTCAAAATCACCCACAATACCTTTCGGGCTGTTTGCGAGTACTTTTTCCGACAATTTTTTTTATGATATGCAACTTTCAACATAATGGGTGGATTCATTTGGATCATACGCATATAAAAACAATAAAAAATTCCAGTGGTAAATACGCGTATGTTTGCAAATAAATCCACCCAAAATGATTACAAACAGTTAAGATGCATACTTAAACTATTGACAATTTAATTGTTAGATTGATGTTCAGTCTAAGAGTGACGTAATTACGTAATAGTAGTAAATTATTGATTCGTCTTCTTCCCATTATTCTCAGCCCGATTACGGATAAATTGCTTTGAAACAAACTACAAACCATATTTGCAATCATACTTTATAATTCACACTCATGTGATATAAGAGCGTCACGCGCGACCTCTCGCGCGAAATCTCTGGTGAAGAGATTGAGACATAGCCAGTATGGTTACTATGATGTTGAACATTGCAATTTTCGATACAAAGATCGTCACCAGAGAACCATTTGTATGATATAACTACGTCACTCGCGTGAACTCTTACGTGAATAGACTACGATAGATTTAGTATAGTTACTATGATTTTGAACATTGCAAATTTATGACATTCAATAGAAATGGAAAAGTTTGGCCAAGATCGTTATCAGAGCAACAACCGCATATGAAATATCTAAATCACATGCAACCTTTCGGGTGATCTCTCGCGTAAATAGATTGCAACAGAGTCTGTATAAAGTTATGAGTATTTGAATATCATATATGTGAACTGCGGAGTGAAGAATTATATAAGGAAAGATCATCGCGGTTATATACGCAACTTTTGCAGTTGCGAAAAGAAAGCCTAAAGCCTGCTGAAGGTTAATTTTCTTTAAAAAATCGTTAGTGGCAATCCTCCGATGTAAGAACTTAAAATGAAAGGTTCTTAATTAAGTAACTTAACTTAGCTTGGTATCTTTTCAGTTTACAGCCGTCAGACCAGACCATTTTCCTCAGGCAGACCTCCAGATGGGACCATGAAACCAGTCCATCAGACCACCGCGCCAGACAGTCCGATCAGAGATGAGACCACATCCTGATACCACAACAGACCATCGTCGGACCCGATCACCAAATCAGACCATCAGATCCCACCAGCACCTCCAAACCAGACCATCAGATCAGCTCACCCCACCAGAGCACACACTTCCATCCTTGACTGCACAGCTTCAAATCAGCACAGCACACCCTATCTTCTGAAATGGTACAGGTCAGGTGCATTCCTTATGGGTTGGGTCAAGGGCGGTATATAGAGCTCTGGATGAACCTTGCAAAGCATACTTTCCACACACGTCTGAAGCTTCCGGACTTTTTTCGGCTTAACTTAATTTTAGTTAGATTAGCTAGCGGGGTTCCCTGGGCTGGTAAGGGCCTCCCCTTCCCTTTTTCATAGGATGGGTTCCTTTGCAGGTGTTCGGTCAGCAATAAGAGTTCGGCTTTTAGGAATAGGTTCGGCTTTTTGGATTCGGCTTCGATTCTAGGAAACAGTTCGGCTGAGTCTTCGTTCGCCTTTTTCGGTTGGATTCGCCGTCGCCGCCGTGATCGTCTTCGTCTTCGCTACGGTTTCCCGCTTAGTTGCGCGAAATTGGATTGATTTATCACACTTCACTTGATAGTCTATGCGCTGGGCAAGTGAAGCTTTCATTCGCAAGGTTCAACCAGACAGTGATTATTATAAGACATAACTTAGTAAACTAGAGACTTCAGGTCATTCAGCTACTGTGAGATGACCTCATTTGGTCACTGCTTACAAGCTTAGTGGTCTCTCTGGTTACAGGTAGATAGTTAGTTTAGCCTCGCAAATTCGGGCTGCTCTTAGCAATTTGGCTGTCGATGTTAAAAAGTACAACTGTGAAGTAAAAATGCATTGATGCGCATTTGCAGACCTCGAACTTGTGATGGTAGATCAGTTAGCAGGTTTAGTCGTACAACAAAGGTAATTTGCCACCAGGCGTTTCTTCCCGCGAAGAGTCAACACCTTGTGGCAGGTTACTAGGGTAAGATGGGGCACTCCACACACCACAGGCTAGATCGTTTACAAATCGTAAGCGTAGGAAGTCTTCGAGACCAATCTACGACGCAGTTTCATCGTTGGAGGAGCACAAAGAAGCTGATAAGCTAACTTTATTAGCCTGCAAAGTAATCACGGAATGCTATTAGGCCGAATATTTCGGGGACACACATGTGGAGGCCCACCATACCTCAATATGCGTGCCCCTGAAAAGCATTCAGGTGGATACCACGCATGCTATAGATAGTCTTTCCCGATCAATAAGTAGCAGGAGAGGATGCTTTGGCTTGGCATTGTTACACTAAGACGACCTCATTTGTCTTCCTGTTAATTTTGCCTCGCTGGAGGGTTTTCTTCTTAGGAAGTCCTGCATTGCACTACGTAGGCACAGATCGTCTACAAATGGTAGGCGTACGTAGTCTTCACGTCGACCGTTCGTGGCTATTGGTTTCTTCGTACTCCAGACGTCGTCCGATTTTTCTACCTCCAAAAGATCTTCAAGTTCGTCACGACTGGGACCAAATCCTATGCAGCACACTGTTTTTTCAACTTATTTCTGAATCTTGTAACAAAATCATTTGAATAAAATGCATTTTATTGACTTGTGTCATGTTGTATTGTGGGTCCAGTGCTCCATCAAAGGAAGAGGCCGGCCGAAGAAAGAAGAACAAAGAACTTCCAGAGCCATAGAAAGATAGTCAAGTAATCCAGTTAATTAAGTAGGCGAGGTACCTTCCTTTGCAGCCATGAACGGAGAAGAAGAATCACGTCGGACCAAACCACACAATGAAGATGATCATGATGACAATGGTGATGATGATCGTTTTACACTAAGACGTCATTCTCCTTCTATGAAAATAGAAGCCGGTGACATCTTAGGGTAAACGACTTCATGATTAGGAAGGCAACGTAAAGCCAGAGAAGACAGCATATAGTGATCACTTTAAAGAGCTGTCTTGACTAACGTTGACATTTCCATAATTAAGACCCTTTATTTTTCCTCGCCTTCCATGTGGGAACGAGTTTGAAAACTTATGAAACGAATCAGACAAGCTTTTCTTGAAATAAAGAAATCCATAAATTGTTCCGAGCAAAAGTTAAAATTCATCTTATCTGGGACCCCATGTTCGGCAATTGTTTTTGTTGTCGTATAGAACAATGTTAGTTGAGACAGCAAATATATTTAATAATTTTAACTTTAATTGGCCAGCCGGACTTCATCTTTGGAGTAACTACAAGTCATCATCATCATCGACAACAACAACAACAACGTCATGGACTTTTTTTTATCTACGCCTTAGTCTGTTGGATTGTTGGCCCCAGTATCCATGGTCCTTTGTTGGAGGAACATCACGACAGAGTACAGCAGCCCATATAAGGTAGGGCTGATTAATGTTGGTACAAAGTTTGCGCAAAGCAGACTCGTTTGGTTTGAAATAGCGTACGGCAAATTGAATTTCCACGGCACCGTTATTCTTGCAAGAAGGTTCGCAGCTTAACGCAAACCTTGCACCACATCAATCAACCCAAGTAATAATTCAGTGTGGCACAAGGTATGTGGACTTTTTTTCTTTGTTAGACAATTAGATTTTCGGTTCGGACCATTCCTCGTTTTCCGGTTTTCCATTCGACTTGCGATCTGATTCCGGATTCGGCTTCGAAAAAACGCGAAGGCTTGGTATCGACGATATTTCGATAGCAAGCCGCCAAATATCCCTGCGTACCGTCCGGGGACCCTGGTGTGTTTCATTCGAGGTGTCAAAGTTTATGGACACATGTCACACTCCTCGGTCTAGCGAACCTGGACGCCAAATTCTTGTAGGAGCGCACCCCATAAACTACTTAACTTCTGTAAACGGCTAACTCAATTCAATAAAAACACTTTACCTAATGCGTTGTCTGTGTGATTTTCTTAAATTAATAACTGATAGAGTAATTAGTTATAAGTACTAATGATGATTTGATTTGCAGGTATCTTACAAAATACTTGTTGTAATAAGACCAATGAAAATAATAATAATAAAAAAAAACGCTGAGTTGTGAGTGTGCTGTCTTTTACACAGTTTCGCGCATTCACTGACATTGTCACATCAGCATGTTCCACTGCAAACACACAAATAACTAATTTTTCATTTCAGTGTCTAATACGTCGATCCTCATTATTTTTCGATTTTTGGACTCTACCTCCATTTTTTTCTTGAGTGAGTGGCAACGCAACTTTTTGGGCGCGCCCCCCCAAGATCGCAGGCGCTTTTTTTCCTCGCCCTCGGATTACTTTTTTGGACGCGTTCTTGAAGAAACGCATGGCGCCACCAACTTGGAAGTCGGAAGGAGAGCTAAATGCAAAGTAGAAATTTTTAATTGAGTTGTACGTAATTAAAAGTTGATGAAAAATAAAGTTTAAAAACAGACGAGAATTCATCAGCTTGTTTTTTTCCTTTACACCAATACTGAATAACTTAAATATGTTAGATTTTTGTTGTAACGTAGTTGCTTTTCGGTTATAACAATAAAATTAATGTTTGACCAACATAACGTCGCCTCAACAGTGTATTTTTTCTTTAAAAATGATATTAAGTTTTATTTCAGGAACTTCGGGCGTCATCTTTTCACACGCTCTTTTCGTTCGAAAATCGCCGCCTCGAAGACGTCTTTATGGGCGCGCCCTTTGAAGACTGAGCGCGTATGCTCTCAAGAAGCTCGTTCTAGAAGCACTTCTGGCTGCGTTCCTGAAGAAACGCATGGCGACACTGGTTATACGAATGAAAAACGACTTTAGGTTCTAAAGGTAACACAGATACGTGTTTCTTCTTTCAGTTGTTTTTACTGTTAAATAATCTTTTTGTGTTTCAGATTTCGTGCGTGAAGTGAGCTTTTTCCGGAGGAAAGGAAGAACGAAACGGACCATGAGAACAATAAATCTGATTCTGCTGATACAGACACTTGTCCTCAGATGATACAAAACTTATTCATTAATTTAGGTTTTAGTGGGATTCAAACCCACGCGCTTTGTTTAGTGACTGGTAATCCTTATCTACCAAAGAGTACAATATTCAAGACGTAGGATTCCAAACAATGCAGTGAATATCTGTTTGAAGAAAGCTGACAGAAATTCACAGTTAAAACTTACTATTAAAACTAGGTAAACTGGGATTCCAACCCAGCAGACAAGAGAGTCGAGAGCTCTCTGGACTGACACATCAGTCTATGATCCATAGTTAAAAGTTACCATTAAAACTAGACGAACTGGGATTCCAACCCAGCAATTTAGGGAGACAGAATCTCCCTGGACAAATACTTCAGTCTATAATAGTTAAAACTTGGTATTAAACCTAGATAAACTGGGATTCCAACCCAGCAAACAAGAGAGACTAGAGCTCTCTGGACTGATATTTCAGTCTATTATAGTTTATAACTTACTATTAAAACTAGATAACCTGGGATTCCAACCCAGCAAACAAGAGAGACTAGAACTCTCTAGACTGATAAGTCAGTCTATGATTCGTAGTTAAAGCTTACTATGAAAAGTAGATAAACTGGGATTCCAACCCAGCAAACAAGAGGGACAAGAGCTCCCTCGACTGATATCTCAGTCTATGATTCATAGTTAAAACATACTATTAAAACTATATAAACTGGGATTCCAACCCAACAAACAAGAGAGACTATAGCTCTCTGGACTGATATTTTAGTCTATTTAAGTGTGTTTAACTTACTATTAAAACTAGATAAACTGGGATTCCAACCCAGCAAGGAAGGGAGACGGACGCTCCGTGGACAAAATTAATACTTCAGTCTATAATAGATAAAACTTAGTATTAAACCTAGATAAATTGGGATTCCAACCCAGCAAACAAGAGAGACTAGAACTCTCTGGACGGATACATCAGTCTATGATTCATAGTTAGAAGTTACTTTTAAAGCTAGATAAACTGGGATTCCAACCCAGCAAGCAAGGGAGACAGGAGCTCTCTGGACTGATACGTCAGTCTATGATTCATAGCTAAAACTTACTTTTAAAACTAGATAAACTGGGATTCCAACCCAGCAAGCAAGGGAGACAGCAGCTCTCTGGACTGATACGTCAGTCTATGATTCATGGCTAAAACTTACTTTTAAAACTAGATAAACTGGGATTTCAACCCAGCAAACAAGAGAGACAGGAGCTCTCTGGACTGATACATCAGCCTATGATTCATAGTTAGAGGTTACTTTTAAAGCAAGATAAACTGGGATTCCAACCCAGCAAGGAAGGGAGACAGAAGCTTCCTGGACAAATACTTCAGTCTGTAATAGTTAAAACTTAGTATTAAACCTAGATAAACTGGGATTCCAACCCAGCAAACAAGAGAGACTAGAGCTCTCTGGACTGATATTTCAGTCTATCATAGTGGATAACTTACTATCAAAACTAAATAAACTGGGATTCCAACCCAGCAAACAAGAGAGACTATAGCTCTCTAGACACTGATATTTTAGTCTATTAAAGTGTGTTTAACTTATTATTAATACTAGATAAACTGGGATTCCAACCCAACAAACAAGACAGACAGAAGCTCTCTGGACTGATACGTCAGTGTATGATACGTAGTTAAAGCTTATTATGACAAGTAGATAAACTGGGATTCCAACCCACCAAACAAGACAGACAAGAGCTCTCTTTACTGATATCTCAGTCTCTGATTCATAGTTGAAAGACTACGTAAACTGGGATCCCGACCTAGCAAACATGAGGGACTAGAGCTCTCTGGACTGATATTTCACTCTATCATAGTTAATAACTTACTATTAAAACTAAATAAACTGGGATTCCAACCCAGGAAATAAGAGAGACAGGAGCTCTCTGGACTGATACGTCAGTCTATGATTTATAGCTAAAACTTATGTTTAAACTACATAAACTGGGATTCCAACACAGCAACCAAGGGAGACGGGAGCTCTCTCGACTAATGCGACAGTCTATGATTCAAAGCTAAGACTTACTTTTAAAACTAAATAAACTGGGATTCCTACCCAGGAAACATGAGAGACAGGAGTTCTCTGGACTGATAAATCAGTCTACGATTTATAGTCAAAACTCACTTTAAGAAGATCAACTGCATGGGATTCCAACCCAGCAAACAAGAGAGACTAGAACTCTCTGGACTGATATTTCAGTCTATTGTAGTTTATAACTTACTATTAACACTAGATAAACTGGGATTCCAACCCAGCAAACAAGAGAGACTAGAGCTCTCTGGACTGATATTTCAGTCCATCATATATAGTTAATAACTTAGTATTAAAACTAAATAAACTGGGATTCCAACCAAGCAAGCAAGGGAGACAGGAGCTTTTTGGACTAGTCTACGACTCATAGATAGAACTTAAATTGATTTTAACACTAGATCAACTGGGATTCCAACCCAGCAAACAAGAGAGACGCAAGCTCACTGGACTGATACATCAGTCTATGATTCATAGTTAAAACTTACTTTTAAAGCTAGATAAACTGGGATTCCAACCCACCAAACAAGAGAGACGCAAGCTCTCTGGACTGATACATCAGTCTATGATTCATAGTTAAAACTTACTTTTAAAGCTAGATGAACTGGGATTCTAACCCAGCAAACAAGAGAGACGCAAGCTCTCTGGACTGATACATTAGTCTATGATTCATAGTTAAAACTTACTTTTAAAGCTAGATAAACTGGGATTCCAACCCAGCAAGGAAGGGTGACAGACGCTTCCCGGACTAATACTTTAGTCTATAATAGTTAAAACTTAGTATTAAAACTAGATAAACTGGGATTCCAACCCAGCAAACAAGAGAGACAGGAGCTCTCTGGACTGATACGTGACATGCAGTCTATGATTCATAGTTAAAAGGTACCATTAAAATTAGACAAACTGGGATTCCAACCCAGCAAGCACGGAGATCAGAGCTACCTGCACTAACACTTAGTCTATAATAGTTAAAACTTAGTATATTTGACCCTAGATTTAAACTGGGATTCTAACCCAGTAAACAAGAGAGACTAGAGCTCTCTGGACTGATATTTCAGTCTATCATAGTTAATAACTTGCTATAATAATTAAAACTAAATAAACTGGGATTCCAACCCAGGAAACGAGAGACGGAGCTCTCTGGACTGATATATCAGTCTACAACTCATAGTTAAACCTTACTTTTAACACTAGATCAACTGGGATTCCAACCCACCAAACAAGAGAGACAGGGGCTCTCTGGACTGATACATCAGTCTGTGATTCATAATTAAAATTTACTTTTAAAGCTAGATAAACTGGGATTCCAACCCAGCAAGGAAAGGAGACAGAAGCTCCCTGGACAAAATTAATACTTCAGTCTATAATAGTTAAAACTTGGTATTAAACCTAAATAAACTGGGATTCCAACCCAGCAAACAAGAGAGACAAGAGCTCTCTGGACTGATATTTCAGTCTATCATAGTTAATAACTTACTATTAAAACTAAATAAACTGGGATTCCAACCCAGGA